CAGAAAAATACATCTAGGTATTAGGTCATGAGGAATTCCCGAAAAACAGACCAGTAAAAAGGTTCAATGAACTAAAAGTCCACAAATACCAGAAATTAATATGAATATAAAGTTATTGATTGTACCTAGGTAGTTTTTTTTAAGTTTGATATTATACATGCATAGTTGATAAAAGTTACAACCTCATAGAAATTTCAAATTGTTACTAATTTTAGGTGTTGGGGGTAGCGATGAATATATTGTATTTACAATGATTTGTTTGTGTTTGTTTTCTGTCATCTACATTTGGGGTATTTAAAATGGTTCGATTTTCGACATCAGTATCTTTTCTGATAGAAATGTGAGTTTATGATGTGTACCTATGTAAATTTAAAAATTAATAGTAGTGACCTATTACATAAGTAATAATTAGAAATTTAAATATTGGATTTTTTACCGGACTTTTATTCGATCAAAATTATTTTGGCAGAACATTCTCTACTTGTCATTTTTCTATAAGACTTTTTTTCACGGGACTTTTTGGTATTTCGCCGGTTGTGAGCCGTGACTAGTGATTCTACGACCTACTTCTCTATTGTTTAATAATTATAATTTTAATTAGATATAGGATTATGATATGGCAATCACTGTCAAAATTTCTGCTTTTGAGAGGGGGAGAGCAAAAAGTTTGACCTGCCCATAATTAAACTGAAATGAAAAAGCTAACAAACAATTTTATTATATTAAAATTACAAATTACAAATTACAATTACATCTGAATACAAATAGCCTTCTTCTAAAATATAAAATTGAAACGTCAAATAATGGCTAGGTAATCTAAACGACTTACAATAAACAAAGGTCCTTATCTATTAAATACCCACCCTGATAACACACAACACACTATAAATCAGGGTTGAAAATAGTGGGGAGTTATTGATTCCGCCGAAACTACCTGTTTAGAAAAAAGGTTTATATCGATTCCGCCGGCTACTGTTTAAAATATCTACATATCGATTCCGCCGGCTACTGTTTATTCCCCCCTCTTGTTGTATAAAATGTTAATAATAATTGTATAATTCAAAACTAAAATGTATATATTCTGATTAATATGTGTATGTGAATATATTATAAAATATTAAAATGTATAGTCTAAATTGTATAAATTGTTATAGTAATTATATAATTCAAAAACAAAATGTATATATTCTGATTAATATGTGTATGTGAATATATTATAAAATATTAAAATGTATAGTCTAAATTTTAGTTGAGGGATAAGCAGTAGCCGGCGGAATCGATATGTAGATATTTTAAACAGTAGCCGGCGGAATTAATAGCCGGCGGAATCGATATGTAGATATTTTAAACAGTAGCCGGCGGAATCAATAGCCGGCGGAATCGATATAAAATCGGCGGAATCGATATACGCCCGAAAATAGTATGATTTTTCTATTATCTAATATACCTATATAAATTGGAATATACATTATATGCAGATACCTTATAATTATCTACATAGCACCAACCATAAATGATGGTTAAAGCCCACCTTGTCACTCCCCCAAATTACGCCATTTATGGCAGTTATATCGTTGGGTGAAACACGATTGCGGACGCTTAACCTTTTTTGCAACACGATTGCGGACGATCATTATAGAACAAAAGGTCTTATGTTGCATCCGAAAAATGACACGACTGCGGTCGAAATTTAATGAAACGTTGCCAAGTTGTGCGACGCGGTCTACCAAGCCCAAATATTATCAATTTTATAAAAGTTCTTAACAACACAGTTAAAAATTGAAAATCAAAAAAAGTAAAAAACAAGTGCTCAATATAATAATATAATATAAACATTTAAAGCTAAAAATTGAAAATCAAAAAAAGTAAAAAGCAAACGCTCAATATAATAATATAATATACACATTTAAAGTCAAGAGCTCAATATAATAATAAATTAATTAAATTTATATTTTTTCCCCCTGTAATGACAACTAATTTTTTTTAAATATTGTATCACGTTTTGGTGATTTTTGTTATCATTATAGCTCTGAATAGTTAGGTTGATTCTATCTAAATCTTTTTTTGCCACCGATGCCGTCAAAATACTTGCACTACAGACTTTATTTGTACATAACCATTTCAAAATTCCATCTTTCCGCAGTCGCCTAAATCCATATTTATTCGTTTTGTGTAGAACTAACTCTTTACCACTTTCTGATCACTCTCAGAATTTCCACATACCCACATTATCGAAGTATTATTTATAAATTGGGCAACATGTGTCCGCAATAGTGTAATATTCGGGGGTCCGCTGATAAACTATAATCGTTCGCAATCGTGTCAATAAAAAGGTCACCCCGATAAGAACCGTCCGCAGTCGTGTATCACCGATATCGTTTTGTGGTTAATTGATTAACAAATCAAAGGATCAGCGTAATTTAATACTGTTGTCCCCTTTACATTTCATCTCCACGCCAAACACATTACCCACTATAGCCGGCCGGCGTCACACACAAAAAAAAAACTTCATTCTAGGACCGTAAAAATATGTTTATGAAAGAGTTTTGTGATATTTAAAACTGGTAGAACAAAAAAGGCTCAATATGACTGAGGAGTAGTTAGAGACTTGGAAATAGGCCTTTGGTGATCTCTAAATGACAATAAATAAAATATTATATATATGTATAATAAAAATATAATAAATATAATAATAATAATAATAATAATAATATAACTATAGATAGGTAGTTATAATATTAGGACAGTGTTGGATTTTAAATGAGTATCTGGAGGAGAGCTGGCATCCTTTAAAATTTAAATTATTTCAAACTACTGGTATTATAATTATATTATACTCACCTATTATACATGAATTATTTTAATTTATATTACCTAAGTTACGTAAGGAGTGGTAGAAATTATATAAGTTAGTAAAATGCATTACTCTGAGCTGAGTATCAAAGTATTACACTATTACATAATGTTATGAATTATGATACTCATGTTTGATGTTATTATAAGAGTTTCTAGCATGGAAAATTACCTAGATATAAATAAATAAAAACATCGAAAAATGTTGAGTATATATGGCTATATGAGATAGTCTCATTGAGACTCACGACAAAATTGGTAAATATAAGTAAAATGAATGACAATAACATTGAAAGATTGACGTGTATCAGCGTACCGAACACGACACAAGACAGTAATTTTCTAAATAATACAATTTATTTTCATTAGACTGAGCTAGTCGGTAAACGGAATAAAAATTCACGGAAAATAAAATCCCCGACCCTAGGGCATGGAAAAGAAATAGGGAAAAAATCCTTGGATCCTACAAAATTAATCACAACCACAGAAAATAACTGATAATGATTGAATAAATATTTTTTAAACTCAAATGACCACATTGTTATTTCTTGGTAACAAATATAAAGGTAACCAAGTAGGTGGGTATTCGTATTACGTTTCCAGGTTTCTTAATATTTTGTAGATATTGTAAAACACATAATATAAGAACTTCAAATGTTGATAAAAATTAACCAAATTAAATTAAATTTTCACAAAATCATACCCAGTACCTACATACCTATCGTTTTATTCATTATTATTATTTAATGTATCGATCATTGGAAATATTGTATGTAGGTACTAGGTACCTATGCTATATTATTATTTTTTATTTTTTAATATTTTGAATATATATTTTTGTATTATTAAGTAAGACTTACGTAAACGCTTTCTATTAATTACATTAACTATAATTATTAATACAAAAAAACAAAAGTAAATTTAATTGCTTACAGAATTATAGGTACATACTACATACCTAATAGCATTGATTGTATTTAAAATCGGAGTCATCCTTGACAGCCGACTTACCTGGGCAGCTCACATAAAAAGTGAAATCCAAACACTTAATAATCGTTTTCGTCTCCTTCGACCGTTCTTTACTCCTAAAAATATTAAAATACCTACTAAATTACTGCTGTATAAACTACTACTCAGACCCATCTGGTCTTACGGCCAGTAGGGTTCAGCCAAAGTATCAAACCCTAACTGTATACAAAGATTTCAATCCAAAGTCCTTCGCGTCATTTCTAAAGCTCTATACTATGATCCAACAATACCCTTCACTCTGACTTCAATCTACTCACTGTTACTGAATTAGCCAAAATCCACTGTAAGCGATTCAATAATAAGCTAACTCATCATCCCAACCCCCAATCCCCCAACTACCATCTTCAACTATTCCAGGAAATCCCCACAAAAGACTTAAAAGGCAATGGTGTCGTGACCTGCTTATATAATAATAATAAATATAATTATGTATCTCTTAATTTATGATCCTTATTACTTATAATGTTGTAACTTTAACTATTAATGTATTATTGTACTGTTATCATTATGTTTATGATAAAACCTTAAATTTATTTTCAAGTTGAAGTAGGTATCTCCAATGGGAGGCATCTTCCCTCTGTCTTTTCTGCCTGTTTTTGTTTTATATCACTTAAGCTCAGTTCTTGTTTAGTATTATAACAGATGGCGTAGTATAAAATTTTGTTAAAAAAAAACAATGATAAAGGAATCTTAATATCAAACCAAAAAATTGTACTTCTACTTATTCAATATTTATTTCAATCTTTGAACATGATTAAATCAATAGATTGGTTTTTTAATTTAATGATTCTTTAATACCTGATTTTTAATTTTTTGATAATAGTTGAATTCATACAATATTTAAATATGATATAGGCACCTATTCATTAAATAATAAGTATACCTACTGGCTACTGCATACCTGCCTGGTTGTAATTAATTAATTAAATATTAATAATGTGGTAAATAGCGTTTAAAAATATTTGTTCAATCATTTTCATGTGGTTGTGATTTTGTGAGTAATTTTGTAGTCTACCAATTTTTTCCGAGGTTGGTGGACTTTTTCCGTCGATTATTTTTACCTGAGATTTTTATTCCACAATTTCAGACTGTCACACACTTGCGCAGTCGACGTATCGTAAATAATTGTTATCTGTAATAATTATTGTATTATCCGTTATCAGGTGCTTTATCAAATATCATTATCGCTTAATGCTTATCATTATTTTTTTCTGGTAAAAATGTTTTTAAGTTTGAACTCGGCTCAATTACTGCTGCCTGTATAGGTTTTACTCCAAAGTGGCAAAGTCTAGCCGCTTTTGAATTTTTGATGTTGATCGACAAGTGAGTACAAGTGTCTGAAACAAGAAGAAAGTTGTTTAATTAATCACGTAATTGGATAGATTAAATAGACGTATCTATCGGCTTGATAGATTTTGTTTTTCATCTAATCTGTAAGACTGTAACTTACTCTTGAAATGGAAGACGAGATTGAAATGTAAGAAAATTAAAAATACCTCATGTACCTATTCTTGGGTTTTTATTTAGCTATTAATAAATCTTATGCCTTTAAATCTAGACGCAAGATTCAAGGGTTAGAACTGATATTGAAATCAATAAATTGTGAAAAGTATAAATCCAAATTTGAAACTCATGGAATTAATGAACACACGTTAATTCTGATGTCAGCGGATGATCTCAGAAGCCTGGATGTTGATAATAATGACATTTATACTATATTGAATGCAATAAATATACTCAATAAAACATTGAATCATAGCGAAATACGATTATCGTAAGTTGATTGATCATTAATTCAAAACAAGATCATTTAATTACTGTTTTTTTTTTATTTAATATAATACTTTAATATATTTTATCAAAAATGCAAAATTCTAATTGTCATCCGAATATTTTTTGATAGAAATGATGATATTCAAAAATTACAATCCAACATTTGTGGGCAACTTGGATATCTTGCTTTGGTTTTAAATCATATACATCATTCAATCACTAGTGATAAAAATATTTTAAATGACATGTTAATTGATAATCATATATCAGCAATTGATGCAGCTTTAATGTTAAAGCCATACATGAGAGCAGAAGAAAAAAACATAGAAAATACATTAAAAAATGTTTTTAAGGTACCTAATATAATTGTTAATTTATTCATTTTAAGTTAGAAAATATATATGTTCTATGGCACTGAATTTTACATAAAAGTTATAATAAAAGAATAAGAAAAAAATTGATTTTTTAAAAAACCCTTGAAGCCTAAGAAATGTTTCAAAAAAAATGTTTTTGATATATAATTACAAAGTATATTTTTTATGTTGAATATTTCAGAAATATCAAATACTAACCATTGTAATTAATCTTTAAATAATGCTTACATAGTAAAATTCTTCGTTAGGTAAGAATTGTCATTGGCCCCTTAATAGGAATTGTACATTGTTCTTCATCACCACCCCCTTTGGGAATCTTTATTTTGTTACTTACGTTTATTACACAATAAATAATTTTAAAAAGCAGATAATGCTCTGCTGTACATAAGGTGTCTAGAGAGTGATCATAATGGATGTGTTAAATTAGAATTTGATGATATAAATCATTGTATAGGAAAAACGATTCTTAACGAAGATAGTCTGTCAGCCTGTTATATTCCTAAGTATATTTGATGATATTATTGTGATTAAAGTAATTTATTTTACAATAATACTATTTTATATTGTAAATAATGTGAATATCTTATCGGTAACAGATCTGTTAGTGCATGTAAAAGAAACCAAATACTTTTTAAATATTTCCTGATTCAGTGCTTTAAACCCATTTTTTTAAAAAATATTAAAAATTGAAAAATGAGCATAGCACATTTCTTCTACTAATTGAATTAACTTAAATTAATAGTACAAGAAAAAACAACATTTTGAATTTACTTAACAAATTGTATTTATTTGTCATTATTTTATGTTTAAATCTTATTGATTGATTGTGTGTTTTAGATTAAAACAAGAAGTAAAACTATCATGATTACCACGACAATGTGTATAGTCCTTGTATTTGGTCTTACATTTCGACGTCTACATTATTCATTCAACTTTAAAGCTATATTCTAAAATTTAATATCCAACAATTTGGAGTGTATTATATTAATTAAATATTGTATAATTTCATAACATAATTTATATTATGCTAAAGACTAAAGACTATTTTTATGAATCTCAAAATTTAATTCCATTTTTATTTGTATCAAAAGTTTAACAACTTAATTTTATATTTTTTTAAGTTTATGTGCATACAAAGTTAATAATATTAAATAATCTTGTTAAAATATTTTTCTCAATCTTCACCTTTTGGATTTGTACAATAATTAATCATAAAATATGGACATGTTACTGAGTTTTGATATTTGGTATTTATCTTAACTTATTAGTAAATAATAATTATGTACTGATGTATTATTTTAAATAATAAATTGTTGCATTTAAAAAATAATATTAATTTGTGTGTCACTGTAAACCTATTAGGCGGAATTGCATTATAATCTTTTGATAATTTTTATAGATTGTTTCTTTCTTAAAAATAACCTTTTCAAAGTACCAACTAAAATTGATAGATAGGGCTACTTTAAACTTAGAGAGTGTTCAAAAACAAACCATACTATTTCAATTTATTCAGAAACAAATATTTAACAGTTTACTAACATTTGAGAATTTGTAAGCAAAAATTGAAAATTTTTGTATTTAGCTATTGACCCAAGGAATAAAGTATTCTTATTTTTTAAACACAATTTAATTTAATTATTTGTTATTTATATTACAGTTATTATAGATAATCAAGGTGTAGATAATCAAAATTATTATATAAGGTTTTATAAATCGATTCAGTATTATTTTAACATATTCAGAGTCAGCTACTTATCACAGATTTATTTAATATCGTGATATTGATAATATTTTATGACATACATAACCTTTTTTTTCCTCAATTTTTCAAACTACTCCAATTTCCAATATTTTTTTTTATCAAAGATCTGTTTACACATTCTTGTTTGGTTGTAATCGCCTATTTTCTACCAATTATGCCTTTCAACACTTGATAAATATTAAGTTTATTGTCACCTTTAATTTTACATCCTTCTTATACAAGAACCAACTTCAAAAGCCTTTAATAAATTATGTTGACTTGAATATTTCAATATTTCTTATATTATAGTATTTTACTTTAATAATGAGACCTTTCATTTTTTTTGTAAAAATTGTGTTGTAGATATAGGTACTGTTAGTGTGTATGTTTGATTTAATGTTGCGTTAATTTTTTTTGTATGATATACAGTAAAGAAATTAAGGTTCACGATAATACATATAGATTCACTCAAGAATGGAGACTTAACAAAAATATTTAGTCAATATATAGTTATTCAAATACTCAGCATCAGTCGTCAGTCATCTAGTGTATCTACCAACTTTATGAAAAGTACCTATACAATTAAAATATAGTTTAACAATTAAAAACTAATAATTATGATATTTTAATAACTAAGGAGTGTTGTACTGTTGTAAATAATGCTGACAATATACCTCTATTATAATTTATTTTAAAATTATTAAATCTACCCACTGATAACAAAAATCAGTTTGTTAGGTCTTACTTTGACCAAGTTATTTTTGAAAATGATATAATTAGCAGTTACCTACTACAAAATGTTTTTACTTGCCAAATTGAATCAGATCTACATGAGTAGGTAGGTACCTATAAACTATAGTCCTATACAGTATAGTTTATTCATGTATGATTTTTCACCATACCTATGTTGAAATAAAAATAATGACAATTGTAAATTAAAAGGTTGTAACTAGGCAAAAGGTTTCTTTTTAAGTGTCTACCTACGAAATTTCTTATAGGTAGTATTTTATAGTGAATCGTATTTTCACACCTTATGGAAGACAAATATGATGACATCTGTATACATTATAGATTTACCCCCTGTCAAGATGTAAAATATAATATTAACAAAAGACCCCCAGCTAGGAGACCACATTGAGTCCATATGGCAATGGCATATTATTAACATATAAGTATAAACGTTATTTAAAAACAAAACGAGATGTATTATTATTATTGTCTGTTAGTATGTATACATTCGTTTCTCTTCATCATTTGGTTACAAGCATACAATCATCCCGGATTTTTTGGATAACCTCTCGACGAAGACTGCAATAGGTGTCATTTTTGAATATAACCCGACAGTGAATGGCATAGTATACCTTCCGTACCTATCTAATTCATTTATACGAACATTTGTTTTCACGTCAGAATTCGTGCAATGAAACACATGTTTAAAAGCAATAACATGCTAGACAACAATGATGAAGATTCGTCGTGCTATTGCAAGTAATAATTTTTAGATTTTAATTTATTTGAAGAAACATTACAACTAAAATATTCCATAATAGCAACTATTTTGGACATGATATAATTTTTATTACATAATTGTTATTACATGCACCACGGTAAAATAATTAAGTAGTAGTAAATATTAACATTAGCGAAACATATACATCTGAATACCTATACCTAGTCAATATACTTAAGCCTTCACCACTAACCATAGTACTATTATACCAGCCTGCAGTATCTAATACCAACAATTTTACAGTTTAAATACACGCAGGAGGATACTTTCGATTAAAATAAAAACCAATTTCTTTGTAACATGATAGTTGCTTCATTCGATTATAAGTGTATTTTTAATTCATATTGATTATATGGTATGCATTATTGTATGGTTAACATTATTTGATAAAAACATAATAAAATAAAATAAAGGTATAAAAAGGGAGTTCTAATTTTAAAACGCGAATAAGTGGATAACGCTCTGCTGTACATTAGGTGTATAGAAGATCGCTAAAATGAATGGTATTTAATTTTAATTCAATGATATCATATCATTGTATACGAAAAACGATTCTGAGCAGAGACGGGATGTCAGTCTATGATATTTTATGTTGTTCTTACTTATTATTAATATGGTAGCCGATAAGTTGAATTAATATTATTCTTAAGTTATCAGTGATGCTGTAAAAATATTAAATAATGGCACCTATGTAAAATTGGGCTGTTTTGGAACCAAATTACAACAAAACGGTATTCTTTATGTTAGTATGCAATTTTGTTCAAAACTTTACTTAAAATGTTGGTAAAAAATAACTGTGTGCATATATTTTTTAGATTTTTAAGTTACGGAAAAAACTGTTTAAGTTGAACCTTCTTTTAATATGTCAATCCTTAGCTATAAAAGTTGAAAATGTTATAAATTATTAACTACAAAATCATTTTCAATTTTTAATTTGATAAATATTGTCAACATTTGAAATTCAAATGCTATTAAAAAAAAATAGTGGCTATAATGTATTTTTAAATTTTTTTCAACTACTATTGTAAAAATATATCAAGAGTCTTGTATTAAATTGTCATGCTTTTTGACCCAACCAATAAAATCTTATTGACTTTTATAGAAAACAAAATGAAAATTGAAAATGTCCGTCAACAGTTTAAAATGAGTTGAAATATTTTGAAAATTTTATCAAGTATATGAATTGATAAAATAAATATTTGGTATAAATTTAAAGTGTATATAGTAGTTCGTTTTTGAATTACAACAAAATAAGAAAATCGCTACATGAGAAATCGACTGAATATCCAATGTTGTCAAAATTCTAAGTTCAAACGCTCATAAAAAAATATTGTGTATATATGCTCAACTTTTGTTTTAATTTACACTAACAAAAACTTACGAGGAACCTTGTATTACATTTACAAGTTTTTTGGCTAAACGATAAATTTTTGATCGACATTGGTTTAAAAAAAAAAACAAATAATAATCGACAATTTCATATACCTGTAAATAGTTCAACATCATCAAAATATTTTGAAAATTTTATGGTGTATAGAAAATGCTAACACAAATATTCAGTGAAAATTTCTTAAAAATTCCCGTTTATCCTTAATGTTTTGTTTATTTTTCCTGTCGCTTTTGAAAACTATTGGGAATTTTAAATTTTAACATCCCGAATGCACCAACTAGATTCACTTTCCTATCAGAAAAGTTGTTGTTGAAGAAAATTAAAGCACTTTACTGCCCGAAACCGCGATGACAAATACACAAAAAAAAAAAATAAATAAATAAATATAAAAACAACATTGTAAAATCAATAAGTATATTCATCGCTTCGCTCAGAATCTAAAACTAAGAAATCATATAGATGTTATTTATATTTTTTAAGTTGGCACTTGGGCGTTATTCGTTAGTTAATAACGAATATGGCTACAACTTAATATATATAGTTGAGTCTCGTAACTCGAATTTTCTTTCATTACCTTTGAGTTTTGAGTTATCAATTATAGAGACCGAACTGTAATACATTTTGTTGAGATTTCATTACGTTATTTATGTAGATCCTGTAGTTGAGTATAGTTTAGGCACTTAAAAATATCTTTAGGCTAATTTTATTTGAAATATAAGTATGTATATATATATATAAAATGTATATATATATTTATTTAATATTTATTTATTTATATATTTATGTATATATATATTTATTTAAACGTTACCAGAGAATAAGCCATTTTATTTAAACTGCAATGGAGTTTAGAATACTAAAAATATAGTAAAAATTATCTCAGGTAAGTAAGTATAATAGCAGTTTATATTAGACATTTTGAAAAATTGTAAAAACAAATATAGAATATTAATGAATAGTGTGTTCATTTTTGGATTTTTGCTAGGAAGTATCTGATAAAAAGTGTGTAAACAGTCAAATTATAGGAGCAATTTGGAAAACTTTTAACTTTTTTTTTGAAATTATGGATTCCTCTCATTCATTAAAAATCGCACCGATTTAAAAATTGTTTATTTTTTCAATATTATCAATAGTAATTGTTGTTTTTAAATATTTAAGAAATCAAAAAAACAACAAATTTAAGCGTGTTTTTTTGTAAATTATGTTGAAGAAAGAAGGGTGGCCATTGCCCATTTGTCACATTATATTACAATAACAAAAACTGCATAAAATTATGCGCACTACATTTTTAATAAAGCTACTGACATTTAAATTAATTAATATACTAATGTGTTATGGAGGTGCCTATTTAGTATTTATAATATAAGTACGTCAGACATCATTCATTAATCTATTATACCTAATATATTGAACAAACAATAATCATTATTCGTTAAATGTATTATATTTTAAACACATTATAGGTGGGAAAATTGTGATCTGTACATGAATAAAACAGAACTACCAAAACATGTAATAAGCCATATTGCCCCAGAATCCCAAGGGTTGTTCTATTGCAAATGGAAAAGTTGTACGAGAGGAGACCGAGCTTTCAATGCCAAGTAGATTTATTTTCTTAAACTCATTACACTATGAAATGTTATTCTTTCGGCACTGTAAGTAGATTCATTTTCAAGGTACAAGATATTAGTCCACATACGCACTCATACAAACGACAAGCCCCATCAATGCTACATATGCGGTAAAAGCTTTACGCGGGCCGAAAATCTGAAGATCCATGCTCGTTCGCATACAGGTGCGTACATTTTTTTATTTATTTCATTATTACTATTTATGAATTATAAATAATAACCAATAAAATAATGCACCAATACGGTTAGTTATTATTATTTATACATAAATATATACACTGTATGTATATACAGCAATTAGTATTGGTATATATACCAACCAATATAATAAGCATGTTTGCAGAACAATTTAATTGACTATCTATTAGTAGATAGTATTATACTATCTATAAATTATAATCTATATCATATTACTCTGAATGTCCGTAGTTGCCAGTTGGTAAACGCTGGCAGCCCCCTATGCTATCATAGGTACTCCAAAATCATTGAGGGCCGAAAAATACTCTTGATCTGTGTCAGATTTCAAGACATTCCATCTTGAATTTTGATGATACACACAAGATAAATAGGTATTTGAATTTTGAAACAATTCGCACAAGGTACAAGGTATAATAGTATATGGTGTACAATGTACATACCACTCAATGCATTTCCATACTATACAATTCACAGAAGATGATAATTTATATTTTAATGAACGTGATACCTAATTATGTACATTTTTTAATTGCTTGTGGAAATAACTACTTATTTCATACTTATATGTTAGCATGTTATATCTAATCAATGCGTGTTCCTATACAAATATAGGTATAGTTCTATAAATTCTATATGCGATCTTAGTCTAATTTTCAATTTTATCTTAAAATTTAAATGAACCATTTATTTATTTTACATATAATAATAATTATATTAGTATACTTGTTGAGATCACCTTCTAAAATTGTAGATTTAAAAAATCATTACACATTCATATAAATATAATTTTTCTATCAATTAATATTTAATGATTGAATATTTACATTTTTATCATTTTATCTTTTCGTTCAAGTGAAGAATATAATAATTGACTGATGATAATTATACAAGTTAGGTGATACCTACATAAGATGTGTTGCACACTCGTATAAGCGGTTATTGGTACCAGCAATTAACATAATTAACAGTGTGCATCAAAATATAATCAAAATCACATGTTAAATTAGTTAATGTTTATTAATTGTGTACTAAATAGTTAACTAATAATAGTAATTTTAGTGAACATATGTACCAAATATCTAATGAATTTCCCCGCATAAAGCTTTAAATATTAGTTGGCGTACAGTCAGGTTGGATTAGATTAGGTAGGTTATGGGTAGAAACATGTTGAATAGTTGGATACTATTATTTCATGTTATTTTTATATAAGGCATACAAAATAATACAGGATATTAAAATGAAGACAGCTATATTCTCTATGAGTCCAAGTGTATATGTTGTTATAAATAATACTCTAAATTAGTTGTAAACCTTTTTTTTTTTCTGTTCAAAGAACCGGAAACGGATGGGAACTGTTTAGCAGTTTAGCACAATACCGCCACCCTGTCCCGCATCGTTTATTCACCAAATACACTTAAATTATAATTAATTATACATCAAATTAGTTGTATATCTATATGTAATAAGTAATAACTAATAGCACATTACGAATACTAACTACAGGCATACTCATGGGTTTAGCAGGATAGTATTAAGTCTGTTTTTCTGGGTGGGGGGAGACTTCTTCTCTACGACTTGCCAAAGGTATTATAATAAGAACTAACGATTTTTTGAGAATATCTGAGCGAAAAGAAATGCACATTTTTATACTTCATGAAATATTTGATTTATTTAAATTTTCACAATTTGAAGAACAAGATCAATTTATTATACTTTGCATGTAATAAAATATCACACAAAACAAAAATCTAGAAGAGGGTGAGTGTCCTCATCGTTCCCATTAAATTACGCCTGTGGAGTTTAGTGTCAATTCGGGTCCTTTTGGGAAATAGTATTATATTGTTTTATGATTTTATCACTTGGTACCTACATTATTGTAGGCATCTAGAGTTACATATTTTAGGAAGTTTGGTAATAGCCGATAGGTAGGTAACTAGGTAAGCTATCTGTTCGTTTCTTATATAGGTCGGTAAAAATTCAAAATACATACACATCATATAACACGTTTTACATACATAATATTTATGAGAAATAATAGTTTCAGAAAATCAGAACATTTATTATTTACACACCACTGAGTATGACTACATACTATGTGGATTGTAAGTATAATATGTGCAGGGCGAGTCACCAAGCATGCTCACCTTCATTTTTCCTTTTATAATGAATTTGTTTGTACTACTTAAGGAGTGTCCTGTGGTGATACAAACTTCTGTTGTTCAAATAAACCCCAACCCCCCCTTTTTACTATAAATTATTTAATGGTTAATTGTTTTGAAAATGTTTGTTTAACTAGATCAAAATTTAAATGAGTTTTTTAGTTATTGAAATGTTTGTACTAAGGATAATATGTAGTCCTTAAAAATCGATTTACAAAAATATAAAATATACGTAATGTTGGAACTAGTATTTATTATACTAGGGCCATTATTTTTAAAAATTATTAATTTTTATAGATTATCATTAGATTAAAATGTACAATGTACATATCGTCATAACCCCTATATCTAAAAAATCCATTACCATGGACCTTTTACCCTTAGAACAAAAAAGTTAAATAACTCCTAATGTCCTAAATTGTAGACATTTTAATCGACGAAATAAATTGTATTTACAGCTGATGAATAAAAAAATAAAAAACATTTTTTGATGTATGTTGTGTATTGTTGATTTGTTAATAAATTATAATCATAATTAATATATATTTTGTATATTGTATTTAAAAATAAATAAACTTAACTTTTAACCAACATAAAATGTGAAATTTGATATTTGAAGTTTGAAATGCATATACACAGGTGAAAAACCTTACGTTTGTTCAGTGAACGGATGCAACAAGGCATACTCCAACACGAGCGATCGTTTCAAGCATACCCGAACACACTTCATCGAAAAACCATACGCTTGTCGAGTGGAAAGTTGTCTGAAAAGGTATACGGACCCCAGCTCTTTGCGAAAACATGCAAAAAGTCATAATCATCAAGTAAAAGTGATATTGAGTATGTACAATGTATATACAACTACAAATAATTATGTACGGTTATCATAATATTCATCTATCAATTTACCAAACTTGAAAAAGTACTTTACCTATTAATAATTCAACTGATTATCGTCATTGTTTTAAATTCAAAATCGTTAGAGAGGTAGGTACTTCTATTTTCTAATGTTAGTAAATACATACCACTATATAATATATAAGCGACTCATTATGAACGTTAAATTAAAGTAACACTTATTTGACAACTGTCGCCTATCAGCAATTGAAATTTAAAGGGTTAAGGTAGAAGTAAAATTTAATTTCTCAAACGTAGGTATTGCACTAAATATTATAATGATGTTACCTGTCATTGAACTTGCATTAAAATTATAGTGAACCATAATCACATTGAGTTATAGCTTAAATAGTTTAAGCTAATATTTGTTTAGATTTTACATACTAATTATTAGTTTATTGTTTACTGATATGTTAGGTAAAATATATGGCTTACATTTATTTAGATTCTGAGAAGAAAAATTATTAATGAATCAAGAATGTATATGTATAATGTATATTGTATAGTGTATGTCTTACAATGATGTGTGTGTGATATTTTTTGCTACGAAATTGTTAGAACCGGTAAAAAATCTTCAATTTTCAACATTAAGATCTTAAAAATGCTGGTTGACAAATTGAATCTAGTTTTTAACTCGGGAAAAAGTGTATAACTATACATATTCAAAATAACTGAGAAAAACTTACATAGACTTTACGAGTGTGTTTAATATTATTATTAAAATATTACAATGCTGATATTCAAACATAAAATAACGATTTCTCCTCAAATTAATTATTTTAATTTTATTGTAATTCCAAAAATATTAACTGTATAAACTTGAAAGTTGAAATATTCTACTACTAAAAAAATAATTTTACTAAATATTATTACTAAAATTATAAAGGCTGGCACAGTTTCTGATCAGAATTATTTTTTGTGTGCAATGATTAATTTAATTCATTTAATTCATCAATTATAGTGAGCTACTCACTCAGTGACGATAGGTAAACTCAAAAAGTCGAAACGTATTATACAGCAGAGTCATTTCTTTGTTTTTATTATTTATTATTATTACACTTCGACGTTCTTAAATGTTTGATGTAATATTTAGATAATATATATTAAGGCATCGTAAAGTATAATATTTATGTAAATATTTTGTTAATTATTCAATGATTAATGATTAATGGGAAAATTATATTTGTATACATTAATACCTTAACGTGTAACGTTGTAAGTAATATTACTATACAGTAATACTATTAAATGTTACATCACCTCAGTTATGAATAATTAATAGCAATTAAAATGTTTGAGATAGTGAAATTAATCATTTGATTTTTTTTTTAAAATATTTTTAGATAACTAATAATAATATGTCAGTTACGTATAATTAATACATACATAATACATATTTATCATGTAGGTACCTATTATACTGATTATTTGTATAATCATGTATGTGTTTAATATTTATAAGTTGATAATAAATAAAAATAATTAGAGGAAATTGATACCAGTATGGACACCATAAATATTATGATAAAAAACATGCACATATAGTATCAATACTAACATATATTTTATGGTTAATTTTCAGCACAAGATACGAATCCATGTTGTTCTTCTTCGGTCTTCATAACTCCTACTTGTTCTGCGTATTCCATTCCTAATGCTATTGACCAACCATTAGATTTGTCGATTCGTTGGAAAAAATAATAATTGTACTTAAAAGTAGTTTTCAATGTTTAGTGCAAATTACAATATTATTGAATTATGCTTATGAATTTATTATAACAAATGTACATACTTTTACTTATATAGGTACTTTTTTTTTATTATTGTACCTACACAAATGTTGAAAAATATCGATTTAAATAAAAGGTATAAAATCATTTTCAGCAGTTGTATAATAATTACCTACCTATATGTATAATACTATAATATTTAGAAGTGTTGAAATAGTATCATAAATATTCGGAGTAAATTGAATAAATGAAAATACATAATTTAAGAATTATATTATTTACTATATTCAATCATTAATCAATTTTTGTTGGTTATACGACATCACATTTAAGTATTTAACCAATGTGTGACCTACAAATGTAGTAATCTTTATAGTGTTGTCCTCTGGGTCACTATTAAGATGTGACCTACTACTACTATACCGATACCTGTATTATAAATAGACACTTTTTTATGATAATTATGTTAACCTTAGTTTAAATATTATGCTTCAACATATTCCTCACATGTTTTTGACTTAATAAATTCAGATATGACTTCATTTTTTGTGAGTTTGTATTTATAATATATTTTATACCATATCTAATTATCATAAATTAATATTTTAAAAATTCAATATAAACGTATATACGTAGTTCATTGTCGGATAATACTGCAGATGGTATATAATTATTGGTAAAAATGAATTATTCGTATTTCGTAATCAAAATACTCGAACACTATTTATGTATACATCATTTTTCGAATATAATGTTTATCTAATAATTTAAACTAATTGAATACTTGTATTTTAATAAGGAATCCACATTTACATGTTATAAGTCCCTATCTACTATTAAATATGCACAAGTTTATTTTTTGATGATACTTCCCGTATTTCATAATTATTTATGCCGAGTTTCATAAAAGATCACAAACATATTTAATGAATCAATAGTGAGCTAATGGTCACTTAAACATGACTTAGTGACCCACTAACCCATGATTAGTGAATAATTAAATCAATCAACTTTTTTTTAATGAAATTTGTCATTAATGTATTATGTTTTTACTCTAAGCATTTATTTTGTACTTCCATCCTCTACCTTGTAATTGCATGTGCCTATTCAATCACATACCTACTGTATTAGATAAATACTTATATATTCTTTGGAACCAAACCTAAAAGGCGTAATGACTAATTTATTAACTTATAAATTACAATTTGTTCAAGCCCATTTTGTTTTTTTAACTTTTAAGTATAACGGCTCCAATATGCATCATCCGTATTAAGTATAAAAAAGGGTTTGAAACACTATTAAAGTACATGGGTGATTACTGGTTACTTGGCACTTATAGTACTGCAAATATACTAGTATTAACAATATTTTGCATCATAATAACTAATAAGTAATAACTTGATATACTGCACAGATAACAAGACACGAAGATACGTGATTTAATGAACGTAGTCAAGTCCGACAGAGAATATTAAAATTACTCAAATTTGCTGAATCGTTAGGATTTTAATTTTTAATAATTATTTATGTACATTACATGGTTATTAAAATTTAAAATCTTTTGCAGAATATCGTCACAGCCCCTCAAGTAATTAATGTTAGAAAATTGGTCAAAATAATTTCTAAATAGTTAACACTGTTGAAAGATATATTTTTGACTAAAAAATCATCTGATAAAGTAAATTATTTTCATATATATTAGCTTTAGACTAGCTAGTAAAATTATTAAATGTATCCATGTAAACAATATTTGTTGATTTCAATAAATTAAAATGAAGTAGACGAAAGGAAGCATGGTAGTTTCTAAGTAATTGATGCAATTATATTTTTATGATACCTACCTAGTTTTAATCATTAAGCGATTACGAAAATATTAAATATAAGTACCTACCTGGCTACCTATAGTTTTTACGAGCTGTTATAGTGATAAGGCATGTAATTTATGTAATAAAGATTATATCAATATGTTTTTTAATCAGTAAAAAACATGTTGAAAATTAAAAAAAATAAAATAAAGAAAACGATTAAATGATTTTAAGAAAATCATTCGTGACCAGGGCCGTCTTAAGCTTTGCAGGGGCCCATGGGCACCTGGAGCTAAAGGGGCCCTTTTAGTAGGCCTGCAAAAGTTGAATAAAAATATCAAAAATTTATTTAATATGATTTATTTAATATTAATTAAAAACTATGTACATTTCACTGAATAAAAAAAAAACAATGAAACTTATAGTTTATGTATATCGTTAAGACGTAAGCAACGGCTTTTTTCGAGATTTCTGTTGTGCAAAATCTTCAATTATATCTTCGAAGTCTAGTTTTTGAAGGAGATCACTTTCTATGCACATTATTGACAAATTGGTTAACCGTTCTTGCAACATAGTTGTTCGTAATTCGTTTTTTATTCTTTTTAGTTGTGAAAATGAGCGCTCCCCACTGCAATTGGTGATCATGAGGCAAAGGAAAATCCTTGTGGCAACTTCCACGTTTGGGAAGGTTTCTGCTAATTTGTCTGCTTTTATTAAAGAATGTATGTCTAAGATACTTAAGTCCATGGATTCATTTTTGAAGGTTTTCAAGTATTCCCTTAAATGAAAACATTCTGAATTTAATTCATTAGTGTTTATGTCTTCACAATAGAAATCTGCCAATTCTTTGCATTTTTTTTTCAAATGATTAGGTTCAATTGTTCGTAACTGAGTAAAAAAACTAAAACGTTCATTAATTTCTTTGTACGATTCCGATCGTTGCATTAAATGTGTATTTAGCGTGTCGATTATGGGAAGGAACGTTTCTACATAAAATTTTTCTTTACCACTCAACTGCACAGTCTCTGATGGATTTTCCAAAAAAGTAATACGTGTGCTTCGAATTCTTATTCTTTGAAATTTATCTTTATAGTCAGAATTTGGATTAATTTCTTTGGCGGCCGATTCATACTGATCAAAATTATTGCGTGCATTACTAATATACTCGCTAAGTGATGCAAACAGTTTTGTTGCAACGTCCATTGTTATAGTATTATTCTGTAAACTTAAGCTTGTTTTATTTATAGCTCCCAGAAGGTCATTCCATGTCTCAGTTAGGATAACGGTCTCCAATTTTTCCATTTTTTTGGCAAGACTTTGTGCCTCGTTTTTCGTTTCTGCTGATTGATCGGTGTTTTTAGCAATTAATAATAAAGCTTCAAAAATATGATTATAACCATTGTGCAAAGCATTAATAGCATCAGCTCGTGCCGACCATCTGGTTTCAGATAAGTTTTTCAGAACTTTTTGTCCGCCTAAACATCCTTTTAATATCTTCCATCGATTGGCTGAACTTGAAAAAAAATTGAACAATTTCTGGACTAATTGAAAGTATGATACTGCTTCTGAAACACATCCAACCGCTTGGACCCCTACCAGGTTCAATGAATGTGCTGCACAAGGGACGAAAATTGCAAATTTACATTGCTCTTTAATTCTTGCCTGTAACCCAGAATACTTTTCTGCCATATTTGCTGCGTTGTCGTAACTCTGCCCACGACAATTTTTTATTGGAATTTTATGGTCTTCCAAAAAGTTTAAAACCGTATCTGCTATATATTGCGCTTTATGCTCTTCAATAGGCAAAAATTGCAAAAATCTCTCAATAGGCTTTCCGTCTTTAACAAACCGTACAATAAAAGTGAGTTGGTCCACATGAGATAGATCTGGAGTGGAATCGACGCTTATTGAATAGTATTTTGCTGCTTTTATTTCACTAATAATTGTTGTTAACACTTTTTCCCCCATTATATTAATAAATTCGTTGCAAATATTTGCAGACAAATATGATGTACTTCCTTTTCCACGACTTCCGTAGTTTTGTATATGATCAGCTAGAAAAGGGTCAAATTCGCTTATTAATTCTAAGCATCCCAAATAATTACCGTTATTTTGAGATCCCAACATTTCATTATCACCACGAAATCCAAGTCCCCTTGAAGCCAAAAACTTCACCACAGCAACAATCCTTTTGAGTACATTCTTCCAATAATTGATTTCAGCATTGTATTGAGAAATCAATCCATTATCCACTCGAGCAATAGTTTTGCTTCTTGAGACATACTTCATCATTGATTGCTTGTGTAGTGAACTATTTTCATGCTCCATTAAAAAGTTACTAATATGTTTCCAATCTTTATATCCATTAGAAGAACTCAAACTGTTGCCTATAGTAATAGTATAGTTAAAAATACGACAGCAATAACAATATACAGATTTCTTCAACGGCGAATATATGAGCCAACTTCTTTCTACACACTCTCCATTCGTCAATTTGCGGGTGAAAACATTTCTAGTCAAGCTTCTAGTTTTTGTTTTACCACTTACATCTGAAAAACTTGTAAAAGTTTCGGAGAAGTCACTATTTTTATTCTGGAAAAACTCTGGTCCTTTGAGTATCCAAATATCGCGTTTTTCTTCAGTTAAAATATCATCACAGTAAGTACCAGGGTCGTGAGATATATTTTCTATAATATGTGTATTTGTAGTAAAATTTGGAGTTGATGAACTCAAAACACTAGTTGTATCATTAAAAGTGGGTCCAATTTCTGGACTTTCAAATTTAGAGGTACCTTGATAAAACGAGGTCGAAAACTCATTCTGCCTGTTAGTTTCCTCGAGTGTAAAAAATGAAGTAAGCTTAGGCAATTTGTTAATTTTTTCTTTTTGGATCGCAAGTCTTTTTCTTTTTTCTGAACCACTCAAATATGTCCTTTTTGACATAATTAAATGAGACTACAACTCTATTACAGACACTAATAAAATGTTATATTTTATATTTTTATTATAGTTAAATAAACAAAACGAAACGGACAAACGGCGCACTTGTACTGACAGCCAGTTTTATTGTGTATTTACTGAAAACGTTCAAAATAAAATTCCTATTCAATTCACTGCTTTGACATAATTAAGATAAGATAAATAATCTAGTACATAAACATAATGCGGGCGGGTGGAAACTGATATAGATTATTGGCACTGCAGTAATTGATTTATATATATAAAACTTGTTGTAGTTTCTTGCATTTGTGTGGGTAACCCCTCCCGCTCCCGACCGAAACAAACTCCGCAAGTCGTTGCCGATAACCGTCGTAATCGTATAGGATCGGTAACGGCGAAAACATTACAATTTAAAATTGTAATTTCGATTTGGCCGGGGGCCCCATTTGGATGGGGGCCCTGGGCACGTGCCCCACGTGCCCATAGGGTAAAGACGGAACTGTTCGTGACTAATACATTTTTTTCTTATTAAGAATGAATGTTATTACTTATTACTTATTAATATTTAATATAGGTATACGGTATACCTACTTTTATTACATATCTTCAATGTTAGCAAAAATTATATTAATTATTTAAACTATAACTAAATAATAAGTAATAACAAAGTAGGTAGGTATATGTATATAGGTTAGGTTAGGTAATAGTCACCTATACAGCAATACCAGCCTATAGGGTACCTTAATTTATGAAATATTTCGTAATAGTTTTCCCCTTAGCGGGTTACTTTGTATAATCCTGATCTACTTTTCATGATTTTTACTGGATCCCTCTTATTTTTTAACCAGATGTTAATAATGTTTATGTTTTGATTTGAGTTTGTATTCCAGAAGTTGAGTGGTTTTTGGTTGTTTGAATTTCTTATGGCAAATACCTACATTTCTGCTCCTTCATTTCCGATTATATGAACCAATTATTAGAGTGTATTTTCATGGATTTATTCAAATAAAATAATATTATTATATAAAATTAAATCAACATTTTACATAAGTACTGACATTTTATATTTGAAACCCCGTTAAGATTAGATCATAGCATATAATCTCTCTCTTGTACTGCCAACTTCAAAACTCGTCTTACAACGTCGCATTACCGCTTAATAAAAGGTACATTTATTTTGACGTAAGTCTTCAACTGGACAAATATTTAGCTGGAATTTTCCCAATTTCATAGTACATATTATTTTATTAATTTAGAGTTTACATGATTCTTTGACAATTTATTCATAAACTTGGTCTTATAGTAAAAGCATATTATGAAATTAATAAGAATTTTATTTTTCCATAAATATCCATATATATATATACAAATCATGAAACATTTAGAATTTTAATCAGAATTTATCTAAGTCAAATATTTATACTTATAAGTATATATATATAAAAATGTGCATTTTCATATAAATCCCAGCCAAAATCATAATCATCCTTTGCACAGAATGCCACATATTACTACACTTACTACAATCTTCATTCTTCAGTGACTAACAATACTAAAGAGTCAAGACTTTTATTTTTTCAATTGTTACATCAAATTACCAATCTGTAGATAATCATTATTATATTATAATTTACTAGCTGACCCCGTGCACTTTGTTGCCCGTTAAAAATGCCAACCCTATATGAGACTCGATGGTGATAATGCGAGCAGTATATTATGCCTACTTGCTGTGTATTATCGAAATAATATGTTTTATATTTATTTTGATTGCGGACTATTGTGTGACTATAAGTGCAACTCAACCACCTCGGCTGTACCTCAAATATGCGAAAATTCAATTGTGTGCATGCTTATGCCTGATCTGCCAAACGAACCACTGCAGGCAACCAATGAACAAAGAAAATAACCATTTCTACTAAATATATTTATATTTCTCCTATAACCAATAGAAATAATATAAACAAAATATATTTTCTTCGTAAATCTTAAAATCTCTGTTCGAGCAACTCCCCGGGTCGGACATATCGGGTCCAATTGTGAATCTAAACCATCCAGGATTGTGTCTTGTTAGATTAGTAAAATAAAATAAAATAAAATTGTACTCGCGCAGTTTTTCTGGTAACGTCAACAACGAAAAATGGAAAATGAAGTCGTAATAATCGAATAATCATATTTCATAAAGATAAAACCTAAATTTTATCTCTACTATCGACTATTGCGTTCTATATGTAAAGAGAATATTACGGCTATAAAAAAAAACGATACGAAAATTATCACTTTACAAAATGTAAACTTTACTTTATATAGTGAAACATAATATTAATACCTATTATTCAATACACGACATATTTCTCCATGTTTATCCATTTTTTGGTGTTGGCCGGGGGTCCCATTTTAATGATTAATTATGTCATATGGACAATTTTATAAGCTAAAGCTTGCTATAGCTTTTTCAATTCGAAAAAACATTCTGGAACTCAAAAAATAAATCATCAAAAAAATTTAAAAAAAAAGATTTTTCCAAAATTATTTTTCGTAAAAACCCTCTTCCGGCAATTACGAACAATTAAAAAAAAATTTGAGTCAAATCGGCCCAGCCGTTCTCAATTGATGAATTGTTATACATTTTTGGCTCCATTTTTATATTATATAGATTACATATTTTTAATCGGTATTTAATCGGTAGTAAAAAATTCCCAGTTAATATTCGTTTAATTAATTAATAAAATGTTTTCATAACAGTTATATTTTATTTAGATATGATTATACGAACGATGAACGAAGTATATTGAGCCAACACATTTTATTTTAACATTTTGAGCAATCGAACATATATTACCAAGGTTTATTTTATTATTTTCTGTTTTTGTGAGTAAAATTTGTACGCCACTGAAGGCTTTGTATTCAGATTTAGGAAAGGGTTTTGCTAATAATAATTTTCCCAAAATCGCATATTTAATTACTACTGTACCTGATACGACGGACTCATGGTGAAGCCAGCGAGGGGTATTTTGTAGAAAGAATAATAATATGAGTACTTAAATATAATTATTTATTATAATTTATAGTTACACGTCCATAGAAACATTTACAAATTTTAACCGTTCATAAATTCCTTTTTTAAAAAATAGCAATACCTATGTTACGATGTTTGAACCGATTTCTATGATTAATATGTAATTAGTAATTACCTATATAGGCACATAATATCATAAATTATATTAAATTCTAGTTATACGCAGTAATGATTATAGTTTCATAGCTACATATATAATATGTATAATGTATATATACATACCAAATTGAATTCATATAATAAAAATACTTGAAAGAGTTATGAAATTAAAACCATTGTTTTGTACACGCATAATTTATTGTTAACAAGAAAATACCAAGAAAAACCTATTTTCAAAACTAAGAAATATTATATTTCCCATTGATAAGGTAAGAATAAATCATATTTAAGAAGCGCGCCTTAAGAGGTGGGAACACATAATTTTTTTAGTTCGTGAAACAGTTGAAGAAATTCAAACTAACCAGTATTTGAATCTACGTTTCTTAACTCTCGTTTCATTAAAGGTTAGTCAAAATTAAATAAATAATGGTTGGCTTATGCATAATAATATATTAACTTTTTATAATGTACTATTTCATTCAACTCAATCTCAATTCTTATGTTCTATTTTTCTCGACTTGAATTAAATTGAGTTAAATGTCTACACACAAACCTACTTTTGAATTTCAATGTCAAACTATCTATTTTATACTTGTATTATAATTTCTCTTAATAATAAGCTTCGAAATCGAATTTCTCTAATGTGACTAATTACATTTTAATATTTGTATTTTTTTTTGTTAACAGAAATGAATAATGGTATGCGTTTATTTCTATTTCTACTGACCGTCGAGGCATATTCACGGTCTACGTTAGCGTCTGGGCTCGTCATCAGAGAGTCTAGAAACAATGATCCCGTGGCGGTAGCCACCTCACATACTTCCAACAAAAAAACCAATTTAAATAAATCGCGTTTGATAAGAAGATTTTGTATATTGCATCCGTATCACGAATGGTGTCTAAGCGATGCCAATTCTAACACAACTACATCCACCTTGACAACTATAACTGATATTGATCATGGATCTTTCAAATTTGGAAACGTGACAGCAAGCGGGAACTTATCTAGCAGTGAAAGTAAATATTTTATGGGAGCCAGTACACAAACATCACCGACGACGACTATTATTAAGAACTGGTCTTCTCATGATAACAAGTCGTTGGAATCCATGACTATTAAAGCAGCTTCAGAAACAACTCTTAACAATTATGGCAAGTTAACTACGTTGCCCATGGCGGATTATACAGACGACGTGAAAAGCACTCCCACAACTCCGGAATCAACAAAAAACTACGAGCGCGTTAGCACAGCGTCTACCACTACTGAAGTTTTGAATAACGTCACCCTTATTGAGACTCCGACGTCAGTTATTACAAATTATACAAATTTAACGATCATCTCCGCTGAATTTACAACCACTACTGACATTTTAGACAACTCGACTCCTATTGAGACAACATCGTCAGTTCCTACCGCTTATACTAATCCAACGATCATCTCCACCGAATTTGCAACCACTACTGAAGTTACAAACAACTCGACTCTTATTGAGACAACATCGTCAGTCCCTACGAATTATAGTGATACAACGATCATCTCCACTGAATTTGCAACCACTACTGACATTTTAGACAACGTCACACTTATTGAGACTCCAGCGTCAGTTCCTACATATTATACTAATCCAACGATCATCTCGAGTGAATTTGCAACCACTACTGGCATTTTAGACAACTCGACTCTTATTGAGACAACATCGTCAGTTCCTATCGCTTATACTAATCCAACGATCACTTCCACTGAATTTGAAATCACCACTACTGAAGTTACAACCAACGTGACCCTTATTCAGACTCCAACGTCAGTTTCTACAGATTACACCAATTCAACAATCACCTCCACTAAATTTGCAACCACTACTGAAGTTACAAACAACTCGACTCTTATTGAGACAACATCGTCAGTCCCTACGAATTATAGTGATACAACGATCATCTCCACTGAATTTGCAACCACTACTGACATTTTAGACAACGTCACACTTATTGAGACTCCAGCGTCAGTTCCTACATATTATACTAATCCAACGATCATCTCGAGTGAATTTGCAACCACTACTGGCATTTTAGACAACTCGACTCTTATTGAGACAACATCGTCAGTTCCTATCGCTTATACTAATCCAACGATCACTTCCACTGAATTTGAAATCACCACTACTGAAGTTACAACCAACGTGACCCTTATTCAGACTCCAACGTCAGTTTCTACAGATTACACCAATTCAACAATCACCTCCACTAAATTTGCAACCACTACTGAAGTTACAAACAACTCGACTCTTATTGAGACAACATCGTCAGTTCCTACGAATTATACTAATCCGACGATTAACTCCACTAAATTTGCAACCATTACTGAAGTTACAGACAACGTGACCCATCTTCAAACAACGCCAGTTTCTACAGATTATACTAATCCGACGATTAACTCCACTAATTTTGTATCCAAAAATAAAGTTTTTCCTAGGGCGATCTTTAATCAAGAAACAACGTCAGTTCCTACAGATTACACTAAACCAACGATCACTTCCACTGAATTTGCAACCACAAATGAAGTTTTGGATAACGTGACTCATAGTGGGACAACGACGGTACTTCCTACACTTCATACTGATATTTTTCATGCCATTTTGGCTATTATTATGCAGATTACTAAGTATCTTGAGATTGTTTTAAATTAAATGATATTTTAATTAATTAATTTAATCGACCGTTTTATTCATGTTACTGAACCATAATAATATATGAAATAACTATAATATGTATTTAAAACTCTAGAATGAAACCTATCCGTTTTACATGAACTGTGAACTATCATAGTATTGATATCCCTATATAGGGAGACTTTGCATGGGTAATGACAGTATACGTACCTTGAGAGATATTAATGTACTAGCTCGTAGTTGTGCAGCACATATTAATTACATTATATATAGGTAGATAATATCAATAAAAATCACTAACCGGTATTGACATAAAAATATACTATTATTCAAACATATAATCATAACAATATAACCACTGTTCACACATTCACAAGCACATAGCAAAATATGATTTTTATTTTAAACTCAATAAGTTGTTGCGCGATGATCTGTAACGTCAACCTACATGGGAAAAAGTCTGGTACATATTATATAATAAGGTAAAAGAAGAAGATTTTATTTAAACTAATAAAACATATAGTATAAGTAACAAATACTAAAATTAACGGTCTTATCGGTAAAAATTAGTATGAATTGGCGTCTTACATTAGAAAATTGTCCCATTTCTGAGATCGATATCCCCCATCCCCCCCATTTATGAAAATTTAAAATAGGTAGAAATGTCTTTTATATTATTTATAGTTTATACACTAATTTTTTTTATGAATATAGTTATAAAGTTAAAACCAATGAAACATCAGACGCTATCATTATTTAATCATCAGTTATAATGTATCATATTATCAAAACTTTAAATATGTATTTCGATGAAAATGTATTATGAAAGCCAATATAGTTACTTTGAAATACTGTCTTCATAATTTGTTATAGCGAAATAAAATTGTTATACAAAGCACTTATAAGGTGATTGTTCGTTACTATGTTATATGTAAGTATTCAAATACTTTTGAAAAATAATGAGAATACCTTTTACAGTGGACTTTTTATGCTTTGGAATTTTTTTCTCGGACTTTTTTTCATAAAACTCTTTCCCTTCGGACTATTTTGCCGAGATTAGAGTACAATGTTACAATAGTAGTCTTAACACTCCATAATACTCGTCCAGTTGTTGATAACACACACAAACCTCTATATTATGTTCCTAAGACCATAAATAATAATAGGTTTTTAATTTTTTATATTATATTATATTTAATTATAATAAATTACATTGATCTTTTCTATAAATATTTATTTTTCCTTTATAAATTACAGAACGATAATATACAATATATACTATTTGAACCCGTGCACTTTGTTGTCTGTTAAAAATGTCATCTCTATATAAGAGACTTGATGGTGATAAAGCGATAATTATATTATTAGGTAGGCAATCCACCTGCGGTGAATTGCAGGCCCCGCGCTAGGTGAATACTTTATTAGTAATTGGTAATTACTATCTATATGATTGTATGAATAATATGTTTATTTTTATTTTTTATTTGGTTGTGGACACTCCAAGAAACGTCTATAAGCAGTGTTGAATCCAGGTATACTTCATGGGGGGGGGGGAAGCTCCCCTTGAAATTTCTTTTGCACCCCCTGACAAATAAAAAATATACAATAATACAATTTATAATATGTGATGACCTAAGATTAACCTTAGATTGATTTAAAAATTAAAAAATAAATAATTTATTTCTAATTTGTTTTGTAGTTGTACTAAATTTGAAATGTCTAAATTGTAAACTGTAATAAGAATAACTACCTATTAATAGGTATAATTCATAATACTAAAATGTATCACACTTCACCGATGAAAAAAAAGTGAGCCTCAGTGTATAAACTATATGTACCAAATATCATTTACATCAGGTCAGTAGTTACTAGTTTCGGAGCCAATTCAATACAAACAAACAATCAAATCTTTCTTCTCAATAATATTAATATTGACAATATACATGTAAATTATAAAACATATATCATACGTTATGTAGGCACTAAAAAAATCCACTCTGATTTGGAAACGAAAACAGTTTGGTTTCACTACTAAGACGATCGCATACACACTGAAATAACGCATTTTTACTAGGAAGAAACCCCGCTCAAGTTCAGAAATGACATTTTTATATATGATATTTATATAACAAGGTTTAATCCTAATGTCATTATGAATATAAATAATATGGGTAGTGGGTACTATACATACCTTCTCATAGATTGAGTAATGACCGAAAAGTTAACATATTATTATTATCTCATAATCTTCTTTAAAATGATAGCGAAATATAATCATGAAACTGTGATGGGTAATACGATTTAGCACATTCTGGTATATTTGTACAGTTATAAAACTTTTAGGTTTACCCAGAAACAGTGATGGTGTAACAATACTTGGAGGGAGATGATCTCCGACCATCACTTGTATTTTTGGACTAGGCACAATTATCTTTATGGACATTTGATTATATTATGAAGTTTTAATTTAGACCAAATTATACTAAAACATTTTAAACAAAAAAACGATTTTTTTCTAGTGTTTTTATTTATTTATCTTATTATTAATTGGTACTAGTAAAAACCATATGCTACTTGTAGTTCATATGTAACCAAATGATATTTTTTACAATACGTTTTTAGTAAACATATTGTAAGTTTTTATCGTCGAAACACTACTGAAAGGCACACTGCCGCACGCCCTCACACATCGGCAATATCGTATGTACCTCTATATGTATATAATATACAATTTCAAGTTGCGGTCGTCGGAAACAACGAACAGCCGCGAAGAAATTATAATAATATTATAAATTATTACGATTCGCGACATATTCAAAATTCACTAGCACTCTCGACATCTGCCGTGCGCATGCGCGTGCGTCGTATTTTTACAATAATACACATGCCACATGCGCTCTGTTGTACACTTTATGTATTATTATATTTTAATAAAGTATGCGCGTGATGCATCGGCGGCACTACTATACTGCCATCCGCCCAACGTCCAACGGCACCCTTTGCGACTTTTGTTTTTATCGAAAAAGTCGCGTGGCGCGCGTACACGTAGGAACGCTGTATATACAGGATGGTTCACCTGCAACCATGCTCACCAGTCACCATGCCATTCTATCCATTGATCACTCAAATTATTTCAGACTATAGTTTTTTAAACTGCCCATACTCCATAGTATTTTACTAATAGATCATAATATGATCACTTTCACTCGATACAATTGTATATGGCTATTAATTATTATACAGAAGAGTGTTTAGAGGCGATACAAATATGTTTTTCATATCGGAAACTCCATTTTACTGTAAATCGTAGAGCTGCCGTTGGTTTATTTGAAAATATTGATTTATCTGAATACAAATTCGAACAAGGTGTTAAATTATTAAAATTTTAAACTAACACTATAAAACCTACTTTTGAACAACACATTTTTTATTTCAGTAATTATCTATGCTTAAGCTTGAATATTATTTTATAATAAAGTTTGCATATGATTCATATTATACTTGTATAGGAAGGATATGATTGTACCCATAACCCATGTGTCATGTCCTCTATGTTTGATGTATATATATTATATAAAAATTGAAATTCTATTGAACTTAGATATATACCTATTGTATTAATATTTATACCCACAAACTACTCGACTAATTAATATTATAAATACTAATATTTAAAATCATTATAAATTATCACGTGGAATACCTATTGTATCTTTTAGAATAGATCCATCATTTTTAGCTTGTGTAGTTGTGTATAATGTATTTGAAATCAGGTACTCGTTCGAATATCGATTTAGATAGGAACATTCTGCACATTTTCAAAGTTAACAGCAAAAAAGTTTCTAGGTGGTATAAATGAAGAAGAAAACACTTTTTAAAAGTATAAAAAAAAAATACCAAGGAATGGAAATAGTTTATATTATAATATTATAGTCGTCAAGTAGGTACACATAATTATTGAACATATTTTAAGAAATCTGAATTCCAATAAACGGAAAGATTGAAGCATTCGATTACGGGTAAGCACACTTGACGAAAATCACCCTGTATGGCAACGGCAGCCGTAGCGTGCCGCCCGTGTGACGCTATATGCCGGGTCGGCGGCGGCGGCGGCGGCGGCGGCGGCGGCGCGCGGAAGATATCCGCGAAGCGCTCGAGCAGCGTATTTAGACCGTCGTCGGCGGGGGTGTGTTGTGGCCCGTGAACGATCGTGCGCCGTCGTTTCCTATTCACCGTGTGTGTGTGGGTGTGTGGGTGTGTGGGTGTGTGATGTGTGTGCGGGTGTGTGCGTGTGTATGTCCAAACACGAGCAACCAGAGGCCGCCGCCGCCGCCGCCGAGCGGATTACGAAAATAAAATCCCCCATACGCCCCTAGCGAACCGACGCCTGTTGGTCCCCGCGATTAACCGTCGTACCGACCGCGGCGGTCGAATTTTTCTAGTTTTCAAACGCGTCGATTTTCCATAACGAATTGCATTCGTTTCACACACTCGCTCTGTATAGTGTAATATTATCAATTGTCAATTAACCGTTAAAATATTATATATTATTACCTATCCAATATTTTCTCGTTTTTTGTTTTTACAGTTCGCTTTTCGTTTCGTTCGGTTTCGCGCGAAGTTGTGTGACCGCTAAAATATATTGCGATAGTGGTATATATCTTACGACGACGATAACTATGTCACATAAGTCTACGGCCGTCGCCGCGATCCATTAATATATTATCGTCGCGATTTACCTCGCTCGCCACCTTAAACGCCGCCGCCGAGCCGATTTGTACGTCGTCGTCGACGTCGCCGTACGCGTAATTATTAATTATTGTAATTGCAGTCGTATACACAGCCCGTGCGACGTGTCCACGACGGCTTGAACTTTTAACGTCCGTCGCCGCCGCCGCCGCCACCACCGAATGCTCGGAATGCTATGACCGTTCGCGCACACGCCCGTCTCGGGCGGTTCTATTATTAAACGCGTCCGTCGTCGCCGACGTGGTGGTGCGGTGCACCGCGTTGGGAGCTCACGTCATATTATTACAGCAATAATTATTCGTCAACTGCAAGCACGGTGTCGTCGTGTGAAACTAATTCGCGTGTGCACTCAATGATACACAATATAAATACCTACATAATGTAGCATGTGACGATGATAATGTAACATATACATACTATATTATAATCACAATACTGTGCCACAACAGCAACAACAACGACGACGACGACGGCGACAACAACAACAACAACAAAAATATATAATAATAAATGGTCGTGGCGGGGAGGAGGAGACACTATCTCGTCGGTACGTATATCATTATACGACCGGAGTACTACACGCTTTATTCTGCGTACTCGCGTAGACCACACGTGGCAAGATAGGTGGTGGTGTTGGCAGTGATGGTAGTGGTGGCGGTGGTGGCGTTTGAGAAGGAGGTGTAGGAGAGGAGAAGGAGGAGAAGTAAAAGGAGAAGGAGTCGGTGACAGACGAGTGTGGTAATATTAATATACGATTCCCTACGCTACTATATATACGCCGGTCACGCGGTATATAGTTGGTGTTATAGTAATAATATATTATTATATCGGACGGGCGGCGGAGTGATCGAACCTTCCAAGCTGGCCCATCAGTTTTGGCTCGGTTGGGGTTCGGGCTCGGGCTCGTGCCGCGCGCAGACGGACGAGGAGAAGAAGGAGAAAAAGGAAATGGCCGAGGCGGCGGCCCGGCACGAGCTGTACACACAGCAGCAGTGGGCCCACCAGCGGGCCGAACGCGCCGAGCGGAACGCCGAGAGACTGGAGAGGGAGATACAGGCGCAAGCCGCCTCGGCCGCCGCGTCAGAGTCCCTTGCCGAGCTGCACTACGTCGACAGCCTGTCCGGGTCCGTTCAATCCATGTAAGCGCGTTTTTCTTTATGCAAAACTATACACCTAATATATTATACCTAGCGCACCAGTAGTATCAATAGTACCTACCTGGATACCTATCTATAGGTATGTATAAATATCTATCGATCTGCCCTGCACATTTCCTAAGTCGATTTAAATATATTGAACCGAATGACGACGATAAATTATAACATATCCGTAATCTCCTTTTATGGGTTTATTGCTGCAGTCAATGCGTCTATTATTGGAGTAATATATACGCGACTTTGTTGGCACAATTTTCGATAGGTATTTATATTATTACGTTACTACATAACAGTAATATTATATCGCGCCTAAACGCAACAGTTTGTTGATATGTGTATAACATTATACTATGCATAATCGCTTCAAATCATTCGCTTATACACCGCTGACCTGTTCAGCACATAATTTTTAAATGTTATTGGTCGACAACAGTACACACCTACTTGAATACTTGATACAAATATCAATAATCGACAATCGACATAGCATGCATGCATTAAAATTACAAAAAAAAATGCGAAGGACATATTTTATCGCTCCTTTATTTTAATATATCCGCACCGCACATCTTCGTCTCTCCTGCGTGTAGCGTGTACTCGCAAATTACAATAATAATGTTACGAAGCGTGTGCAGTCTACTATGCATATTGCAAAGCACAGGAGGCGCTCCATGCGTTTACGTTATTCAGATTATTATAGCGCCGTCGACGGTGGTCGCGAAAGTCCGACCGCCGCCGCCGCCGACTGTCCGATACCGCCGCTGAGGCGATGGTTGGGGAGGAGCGGTGCACGGGCGACGGCGATCAATTCCCGAAAGTCGGTGAGGCACCCTCCGTAATCGGGCCACGAGCGCGAGCGCGCGCGCGCGGACTACCCACCACCCGCCAGGGCGGCGTGACTGTTACTACCCACGACGCACGACTATACGGCAGTTGTACGCGTACAAACGCCCTGGTCGCGCGATACACGGCGGACGATATCTCCCGTGGGTGCCGCGTAAAATACGTGCGAGCGGCGGGCAAACCCTCGATGGGTCCCGCGTAGCTGTTGACCGCGACTTCCGCGGGCGCCGGGCGCGCATCGGGCGACACCGACCACAATAATAATGTAATAAGCGTGCTGCTGCAGCAGCAGACGGAACATCGCCGCACGTACGCACCGTATTAATTGTACCTACACGTCGTTTTATAATATTTTTTAATATAATATTACAATCATAAATACGCGCGGTTACCGCGGTATACGACAGTGTATTAACAATATCGCATACGATCGTGGATCGGGTACCTATACCGGGCGCGCGCGCGACGATACCATAATATTATGCCGTCGTGTCGCGGTCACCGCTGCCGCCGCCGTCGCCGCCGTCGCCGTCGTCACATCGATATCGCGTCACGGGCCGTATGATGTGAATTACGTTCGCGGTCTTTCGTTTCTCTCTATCTACCTATCTATCTCTGTCTCTCTCTCTCTCTCTCTCTACAACTCTATCTCCTGTCTCTCTGTCCGTCTTTCTCCTGCAGCTAATAATATTTTGTACTTCGCGAGAGCCCGAGATGTTATTTCAATTTCCCGTAAACGACGGAGGCGGTCCCCAGAGGACCAGCAGCTCTAGCAAAGACGACTCGCAACAGACGTCTCTGTATAAGTAAGCAATCATAACATATACGTAGGTACGCACAAACCGGGCTCGACATACTATTATTTCGTTGACTGCAGTTATAGGCATATTATCGGTATAGGTGTGACAGGTGTGTGGTGTGTCTATTCTATATATAAATGCCTACAACTGCCGATTTAGTGCCCGTCCACTGGAGTAAATCTGAGTACAATTTAAATTTGAAAAAAAAATAGATTTAAAGCCTATAAAACGTAAATAGTATAATATTTATAATATTAGGTGGACAATGCGTTTATATATTATGCATTACAATCCTAGATACAATATTATATTGTTTCCTTAAAAGTACAAGTTTTTATTTTGTAAAGGTATATGCGTAATAGGCGTTATATATTAAAACCTTTTGGGTCGACGTCAGAAATATAGAAAGGTACGTCACGTTCCGCACGCGGCCACGGCGGAGGCGTCAAGCAGTCTCTAGAACGCTGACGGGGAATCGATAAAAACCCTTACAGCTGCTGATGTTACCCTCCTGCCTCACCACTTTCCCCTTGTCCTTGCTTAAAATGTTATGTGTGTATAATATAGAACTGCTGCCTCATTATAGCTGGACAACTATATCATATATCTATACCTATATACACAAGCTATATTATGTGGGTACCTATTTTTACGTTTTACTTGAAAATTGTCACGACTTTGAATAATGTATAAATATTTATGTGCGTACAAGTGTACAAATTATACAACTGTCGATTGGCATAAGCGCGAGTGTTCAAAGATTTGATCCTCATGAATTTACGTATTCACAATTTATTTATTTTATGTTTCATAATTTGCATTATAACACTGTAAGAGTTACTTCTGAAACCGATTCCCAATACCAACAACTAATATATTTTAAAGTACTAGTTAGAAGTATAAAGCAAGTGGGTATACCTACATAGTATTTACAGACGGATGCATATTTTTGGCTTTTAAAATATTAATACCTTATATAGTTATATCCGAGAAATTGAGTATTTGAATTTCTCTAATCACTATATACTGGACAGTAGGTAGGTATGGTAAACATTTTCAAAACTTGTTCAGTGAAATAATGTATTATGTATTCTACAAAATTGTAGGTAAATAAGTATAATATGATTAATGATTAATATACATAGTGTAATATACTTATGTATAAATTATTATTTTAAATGTTCTGATAAGAACTCCAAATTTGCTGTTATAAATTTTTAATGAACATATAATAATGCATTTAAGTACTCAGGTATACTGTTATAATAGTTTGATACTAACACATTATCTATAGTTGACAACAAATAAAATCGGATTATGACCAGTGATTGAATATAAATTGCCCTGTTTTAAAAACAATATTATTTGCAGATTGATCAAATTTTTCGGCTTATCAAAATTCAGAGATATAGAAATACAAAAATAAACTTACTCTTCTTACACTTACACAATTATTAAGCATGAAAAAAAGGTCGATGTCATAATTCACCATACCTTTTCATTTTTGTAATGGATTTGAATACCTACCTACCTACCTATTCTGATATAATGTAAAAAAATTCTAAACTATATTATACAACATCAACAATTTCAATAATCAATAATACAAGTATGAAACGAATTTTAAAAAACGAGTTTGCACGGTCACGTGCGCAACAGAAACTTATAAACTACCTTTATTAACTATAGATGCCTAGGTATATCGATATCCTGTTGAGTGTAGATGAATAATAACGAAGCTTACTTCTTACTACGAGTCCATGTATAATATTATGATACATTCACGGTTGATAGTAAAAATATGATTATACTGCGCTGGCTGTATAGATAATACTGCAGTAGGACATTCGTATATTAATTTTTTTTTCATTTAAATTGTGTGGTGTAAGAAAAACACTGGAAAAAACTAAGGTACATACTACGTGTCTACGTATATTCCATTAAGTGTAATAATGTAAAAAGAAACTACAAAAGTTTTACACTATAATAAAACCCAACAGTTTTACGCTACTGCAGCTGTATTATGGATTCATGTTCCACTACTGCAGATACATAAATTATACAAGTATCCTCGTACTAATCGTTTAGTAAATTATAGACCTCTTCAGAATTTTTATTAGTAAGTTTCGAAACGTTCTACTGTTCTATGCTAAATATTCCAATTGGGTTTTCAAATCTCTAAGCACTTATTATATTGCAGTATATGTATATTATTATTGTTTATGATATTATTATCCTTTAACCTTTGTTTATATTTTTTAAGTACATAAGTACATCTAAGCAGGTAAAACAGTTGTATAATAGACTAGATATGATGAAGAGGTCTTACATACATTTAGGCTACTTAGCCCACTAAATTATTCCATCACCCCCTAACAAATTGTACGTTTGACGACTGACGAGTATGTATTATATTGCTTTATAGCTTTTAATAAAGGAACAATTTAATATTCTTGTAATTGGATTCTAATTTGGTCTATATTTTTGGAGTCAACATTTATCACTTCGGATCCAAAAATAAAAATAAATAAATTTTTTTTTAGTTTAAGTAGGTACCTAGGTACCAAATGACCCACTTGTATTGGCTTGTTAAACAAAAAAAATTATTTCAGTTTCTGTTTTATAATCTTTGCATTATAGAAATATTATATAGTTGATTGTAGTAGTGTCTTAATTTTGCGTCGATATGTCACAGAAGTGTTGGTACCTAGGTCTACCTATTTAAATAGTAAATAATATTTTATAATATAGGTACCTATCTATACCTATGTGATGTTGTAATGGACGATTTGTTCTTATTGGCAGATGCAAGGCGCCGATAGCCAGCCTGGACTGCATGGCCGACCTGGGCAGCACCACGGAACAGCTGTGCGCCAAGCTGCAAGCGGCCGCGGTAAAAGAGTCGGTTGACCGTGTATCATCCGCGGCGCAGTCGCCCAGCCTGACGTCCGGGCTCCGGTACCGGAACCTGGGCAAGAGCGGCCTGCGCGTGTCCAACATCGGGCTGGCCACGTGGACCACGTACAACACGGCCATCAATGAAGAACAGCTGGATGCGGTGGTGACGGCCGCGTACAATGCTGGCATCAACCTGTTCGACCTGACTGAGGGTCCGCAGAGCAGCGAACAGGCCGAGACTCAGCTGGGTGCCATCCTCAAGAGGAAAAACTGGAAACGTGTGTCGTACAGCGTCATCACCAAAATACACTGGCACTACAAGTATGTCTATCATCATTCATCAACCATAAATCATAATATCGCAAATCGTCCGAAGTTCACGATATAACCAGTTTTAAATAAAATAATATAGCAGATAATCATATAAATTATCAGGTTCGGACTAAGGGGGAGGGGCAGAGGAGCCACGTCCCCCGGGTTAATGCTGTTAATATAAAAATTAAGAATCCTAAATTTCAATGCCATAAAAAATAAAGTCAATTTAAAAAAGCAAAGGGGTAGTGCTCTACAGTACTTTTGATGTCTAGACTCTAGAGTAATGTATGTGTTAAATTTGAACTCAATAATTATAAAACTTGAAAAAAGATCCCGAACTACGAAGACAGTCTGTCAGCCTATAATATTATTAAGTAACTAAAATAACTTTATGATATTATTGTGATTAAAGTTACTTATTTTAGTATTGGGCATTAGTACTACAGTAGATTAAATTAATTTTTGCCAAAAAATTACATTTAAAAATGTCATTGTATACATATACCTACTACAGGTAGGTATACAATATAATAATACACTCTAAAAGTCTCAACTACCCACTCACGAATGGTATTTTTTAATTAAAAAAAATAACTAAAATTATTTTGGGTTTTAATATATAATTTTGAACTTATATTTGAAACTTATTACCTATTTGAACTTAAAATGTCTGTAAAAAATAACTGTGTTTTGTATTTTTAGACTCGAATTAATTTTCCAATTTCTGTGATTTTGATTAATTTTGCCAACATTTTAACTTTAGATTCTCATAAAAAATGGTTGTCAATTTAAGCTCAACTTTTTTTCATATTTCCACTAACAACAATTTATGAGGAATGTTGTATTACATTTTCAAGTTTTTAAACAGAGCGAAAAAATATTTAAAAAACTAATAAAACTCGAAAATTTCTTATGCGTATAAAATATAAATAGCTCAAAAAGAATCGCAATGTTTCGAAAATTGTTTGTTGCATATAAATCACTAATATAATTCAGTGATGATTTCAACTTTCAAGTACCTAGAGTACACCTAGAGTTACTTATCTAGAGTCTCACTAACGAACAAGATAAATTTTTTCGTAAACTTGTTTTGCAAAAAATCCTAGTTCATCCTTAATTTTTTGTCTGTTTTCCTTGACGCTTTTGAAGACCTGTAACATATTCAATTAAAAAATATTTTAAGAGGCACATTTATGATGAGTGACCTATAGTGACCTTATAATTTATATGTTTAGTGGGGCTCATTTTTATTATTTAGCCCAGAGCCCATTAATCTATACATATTTTGTTTTTTGAGTAATTCCATTGATTAACTTATTTATGCTCATACCCTTCTCAAAAAAATACATTTTAAAATGTCTTCCCTTTATCGCAATCCGTCGTTTACTCTTTTTTCATATCTACTCATATGTCATAATACAAATTACGGTGGAAACCGTCTAGAAAGCGTTTTTCCAAAGACTAATAAACATTTATAAACACTTACTCTAGCAACAAGTTATGCTATTTTAATTATTATTACCTATTACTTTTATTCAGAGCTTGTATATACTATTATAAGGTACTTTATTTCGATTACGGCTAAATCATATTAAAATCTAACAACATATTGTAAGTTGGGCATGTGTAACACCCACTATATTTTAAAATGTTTGTGAACTATATTGGACTCCTAGTCCCTAAATAAACAAATTCAAGAAGTCATACACGTCTGATGCAAATTAAAAGAGTGCCCTTTACTACCTATATAACTATTAACTTGACAAGGTTTTCTGTTGTTGGATTTATCAGTCATCTGCCATCGCGTTGAAGAAGTTATAAACTTATAACTCATAATAGTCAATAGATATATATATATATATTAATAACTAACATACCCGTTCCGTATAGAATATATGGCTACTAATATTTTGTTTTTGTTTTTCATTTTGTCCATCCAACAGATCCGAAGAACGAGGGTTGTCACGTAAACATATCATCGAATCGGTTCGATCGTCCGTCGCTAGACTTGAACTCGACTACATAGACATCGTCCTGATACAAAAAGCCGATCCGATGTGCCCGCTCGAAGGTTTGTTAAATTCTTGTTATTTGCTATAACAAAATTGTGAATGTCAGAGCAATACCTATAGCCAAACTAATTCCTCGTATTTACCAGTTGTACTTCCTACTTACACATTACACAATATTCACAGCTGAATTAATCGATTACAATAATAATATATACTATTAAGAATATAAATGTATCATAATATTATATAGTAATAGAGTACCTATAGACTATACTACTATAGTGACATAAACATAATATTTTACTATGTATTGATAAACACAAATATTTTCTCAGATCTGTAATCCGTCATCTGCACATAATATTATAATAGTGATAGTACGCTGCAAATCTAATTAATATTCTTAACTGCATATATATATTTTCAACCACTTCTATACGTCTATACATTCAATGACACTTTTAATAATATGATTTACCAATCAGTTTTTATTGTATCAAAATATAGAACATTCAACTTATAACAGTATATCTAGGTACTCGAGAACGAGTAATCTATCGATTCAAGACTTTATGTTGATGTAAAATTTGAATGTCACCATGTAGGTAATAGGTAAACGAATTGTAAGATCCTTAAAATTAAAAATGTCCACAGGAATTAGTAATTACACGTGTTATACCCGAATTATAATTTTTTAAAAATGCGAAAAATTCCAACAAAATATATATATGTTATTCGAACTCGTATACATATTATCTAATATCATTAACTAAATAATTAATTCTGTACATAGTATATTTACTACTATATTATTTATTGTATATTTAATCAATGGCTTATGGTAATAAGTAATAACTAATACAATGTGACAATATATTTGCAGAAGTAGTAAGAGCTATGGATTTTCTCGTATCGGAAGGACTGATAATGTATTGGGGCACAGCTAAATGGTCACCGATCGATGTCACAGAAATGTACACTGCTTGCAGACAACTGAATTGCTCTACACCTATCTTAGAACAATCCGAATACCATATGTTGTGCAGGGAAAAAGTTGAGATTTACATGCCTGAACTGTACAATAAAATTGGTCAGTAACATAGTATCTTCGTACTAAATGTTAAATTAATCTGTTTGGTTTTAATCTTTTATGCATACAAATATTCAGGAGTGGGTTTAATGGCTTGGTCACCGTTAGCCATGGGATTATTGCCTTCCTTCAAAGACTCGCTCAGAAGCCGATCGTCCAATAGGGTGAGTTCAGACAAAAATGTATTTTCATTAGTAATATTCATGCATAAATAGTTGAAGGTATAAGACGTTGATGCCTTGTGTTTCAGACAAAAGCTTCCAGTATCAGTTGGAACCAGGACGATCGAAAACCTCCCAGTAAAGAGGTACAGGCGGTACCATTATTACATATTTTGACTTATAGACCTTAGTATAATATAGAACTACGGCACTACACACACAACTGCATTTCTTTTTTACCAAAAACCTTGTTTAATATTATATTTCAGAACAACGAACCATTGACAGCAAGAAATACTAAGGAAATATTGTTTTCAATTTCATTAATAGCAGACCGTCTTGGATGCAGCTTAGTTCAACTGTGTATAGCGTGGACATTAAAAAACGAAAGTGTTCAGTGTCTCTTACTAGGAGCAGCAACAACACACCAGTTTTATCACGCTTTGCACGGACTACAGGTAAAAAATTGGATTTACAAAATAAATGTATTATTATTATATAAAAATTGTATTTATTTCAAAATGTTATTGCGATAATAATAATAATTAATAAAAATAATAATCTAATGTAATTTAATATTTTAACAAGTACACAAACCATTTTGAATTATTTTCTGTTCTAGTTGTTACCAAAACTCAACTCTAATGTAATGGCTGAATTGGAACGTATACTGGATAATAAGCCGGTACGACCTCCAATGGTATCAACTCTGGCAATGAGATGACAAACAGTGTGCCCTCCCGGTGTGTTGGGGGGCACAGGCATGTCTGGCGATGGCATGAAAGAAAGCAATGATGAGTACGACATGAAAGAACGAAAAGTGCCGTTTTGTGTGCTTCAATAAAAAAAAAATAGTTCTTGTGGCGAATATTGTAATCATGTTAGAATTATAGTTTGAAGTTAAATATACGTCCAATTTTAATTGATTAGTAGTGTATTTTATTAATAGAAAAAATGTATAACTTAACTTACACAATTATTATTAATGTAAATTTTGAACATAAAAAAGGACTGGTTTTAGGAAAACAAGTAAGCGCTGAACATCAGTATAGAGTGTTTTTAAGATATTAAAAACTAATCGAAATTTTCTCCTGGAACTCTGACGTCATCAATTTTCAAAATCATTTTAACTAATTGAGCAGCCAAAATGATCTGTTGTTTCTTGCTGTGAAGAGTCTCAATAACATTTTGTTCTTTCATGTCTGAAAAAATAATTATAGAATTCACATTTTTATAAACAAAGCACAAAAATTAAATACAATAAATAAACAAGATAGCTTACCATTAGTTCCAACAAGCATACAATCTATACCAAGAGCTGGGTTGTTTTCTTTGATTTGTCTGGCCCTAACTTGAGTTAACGTATCAATTGGTGACAATCCACTGTTCTCAGCTAAAGCTAATGGAACGCTTTCTAAGGCATCTGCAAATGCCCTGAATGCATATTGCTCAATAGAAGAAATCTTGTCTGCTTCAGTAGAAACAGCAATAGCACATGAAATTTCAGCTGCACCACCACCATAAACTATACGGTTATCTTGTACCAAATTTCGAACGACACATAAAGCATCATGAATACTGCGTTTGGCTTCTTCGATGATCTAGATTAACACAAATGCATTTAGTACACAATACACATTGGTAAAACATTAAATTAACCAACCATTTTATTTCCACCACGTATAAATATGGTGACAGCACGTGAATTCTTGCATTCTTCAATCACCAACATCTTGTCTTTAGTAGTACCAAAAGAAAGTTCGCTAACTTTTCCAGCATATCCCAGCTTCTCTTTAGAAACTTCTTCAAAACGAGGAATGATTCTACCTCCTGTAGCGATTGCAATTAACTATAACAAGTAAGAACATACATATAGTATTTAAAAAGTACCAAGTATTGATTCATATATTTGAAAGTTACAATTCTTTACACATTTAACTTCTATAAGTTAAAATAGAGTGAATAATAAATAGAAAATATCCTTATTATATTATTATTTAATATAACTTACTTCAATCTCAGGTCCACCAACCCAACGTACAGCAGGTAATTCGTGTTTCAATAACAAATGATTAGCTTCATCATCAAAACCCCATTGACAAATTGCTAATGTAGCACCAGCATCTTTCACCTTTTTAACCATATCATTAAATGTATCTTGTTCGTATTTCCTCAGTGCTCTATAGTCTTCAACTGAAGCCACATCCAACTTATGCTTGGTCTTTGGCTTAGGTGGTTCAAACGGACAGGTGAGGATGGCAAGATGAACATTTTTCAGTTCCTAAAAATATGTAAAATATAACAACATTTTCAATAAAAATTAAATATTATGCAATGAACTTACTTTTGGCATTTGAGGATGTGAAAAGTCTTTGTCAACTACAACCCCTTTTACTAACATTGTGTCTTCTAATCTTCCGCCTTCTTTTCCTTGGACTTTGATCAACTCAAAATTGACATCACGTTTATCAAAATCTGCTACAGATATAACTGCATTTACAGCAATTTCGGCCATTTGACGATGGCATTTGTTCACACTAAAATTTAAAAAATTTGAATATATTTACATCATATTATGTATTATTAAAAAATAAGCAATAACTTAAGATAAATTCACTATCGATGATAATCCAAATAAAAACACCCAAATTAAATAATCTTTATACATTTACATAAAGTTTAAAAATGTAAGTATATATGTATAATAATATATGACTCAATGTATATTCTACTAAATGATAAACCTCAGAAGGAACATAACATTATTTAATTTTTTTTGTTTTTACAGTATTGTACACATTGCATTACAAAACAAAATAATAATAAGTAATTTTAATGTTGGACAATGATGAATGAGTTCTAAAAAAATATTGTGGAGCTTATAAAACATTAATTTTGATGTACTAATTTACTTTTTGTAATCTAAAATAATAATGAATTAATTCAATAATTTTCATTGAAAAATGCCGTCTGAATAATATTGTTATCCAAAAAATTTTCTCATGTTCTTTTTCTAGAGATTTTTTTTGTAATTCATGATTATCGCCATATCTTAGAAGTGTTTCATCTTCAGCAATTATATTAAGACCATCAAATGCAGGTTAGATTTTAATGCATTATGTATTTAATCCTTTTAATTACTAACTAACTTCAATTGTACAATACTCTATTCAGAATAAGAACAGACCAGGTGGTGGATAAAGTTCTTGTCATTGTTCACATATCTATCCCCACCACTACGCCTCCACAAAACAGAAGAGCATGTTAACCAACTCCATCAAGATTCCACCAATACGCTAAGGTGGTCTAATCTTATCCTGAATAATTTATTAATAATTTTTCTTACATTTTGGATCCCAGAGTTGTCATTGCTGTTTTAATAAGGGGTTCCAAGTTGTTGATATCAACTGGAAATGAATCAGCAATTGAGTCTAAATGCTTGCAAGCACTTTGAGCGGCCAATTCGAAACCATCTGCAATTCTGATAGGATGTATGCCTTGATCAAGCAGATGTTCAGCTTGTTCCAGCAAAGCTCCAGCGACGACTTTAACAGGATAAAACATATTAGTACTAATACAAATTGCATTAAATATTAATTAACATTTTACATACCTACAACACCAGTAGTTCCATCACCAATTTCATTATCTTGGGATTGAGACAACTGTACCATGAGCTTAGCGATCTCATGATCAACATCCATCATATTTAAAATGGTGGCGCCATCATTAGTAACAGTCACTTCTCCATCTGATGATACCATCATTTTGTCCAAGCCTTTTGGACCCAACGATGTGTACAACGTCTTGGCGATAGACCGTGCGGCCATAATATGCGACTAAACATGTTGAAAATTGACATTTTACATGATTGTTATAATTGGGTTGGGCGATGATTAATACATTTTGTGCATTGGTTTAACGTTCGAAAAACAAGTCGAAATAAACAACAACCGTGTGTGCACCAAAACCCGACGAGTGTCTGAGCACACCTGGTCAATGGCGACATACACACGGTTGCTTTTGACCGTGCTACAATGAATTAAGGAAAGACGGTGAGGTCGAGTCACGGAAACAATGGAATCGCCATCGACTTAGTATGTTTTTTTCCAGCAGTAAAAATAAAACAACCACAAACCTTCAACGCATCGATGCCAGTCAGCCTACGCTGTTTGTGTTGGTCTTTGATGATGATGAACGGCGTACCGAATTCATCGAAACCCAACGACCCGGGTATGAAAGACATGGTCCCGTTGTCGACGTTTCCGTTCGTCCGGCCACTCTATTGAAGAGCAACAAAAATTAAAAAGTAGTTGAAACACGAAATGCTGTTTGTGCGAGACGAACAAGAAGAAAGAGCAAGCCGTGAGTCGTCTGCAGTGCTCCGGATACTTTTTGTAGGTTATGTTCGTATAATTTCGCACAGACGACGGTTCGACAAACTGGATACCCCTCCTACCATAAACCCACGGTTCTTTCTACAACCGTGCGTAAAGCCGAGTTTCCACTACACCTTGTCGTGTGATGTGCAGTACTGCAGTGTTGAATACAACATTATAATATAATATTATTTATTAGTTACTTTATTACCATTACGGTTATCAGAATATCATCACAGGCTGTTTACAACAACTGCATAATATAGTCATTTAGTAATACCGGTCACAGCCCACTGGCCAGTGGCCACTGATAAAATGATTTTATTAAAATTGTTTTATCATGCTGGCCACTGCCTATTGACCAGTGACTAGTCGTATAAAAGTATAAAATAATATTATACAATATCCTGTGTAGAACGAGCGCCAGCTTTTGTTGTTTTCGCCGGGGTGCCCGACTTTCACACATAAATACCTTCATTATTACGTATTTAAGTCTCATTAAAAATGTATGATTTTGTGTTAAAATTGTAATTTTTCACTAGGGGTGATTCATCCAAGAGGATCATCAAGAGTGAACCATGTAAATGTTGCAGATTTTCATCGAATTATTAATATTCAATGATTAAATCGGGTACGCTAATTGTTAAGTGGTTAAGTGGTTTTTGAGTCAATAAGCTACAGATATTGAAAAATACGGACCTTGCCTTATGTGATATATTTGATTATTTTAAAAAACATTAGCGATCAATTAATTTAAGTAGTTTAACATTATTTTCTTTTATTTTATATTGAACCCATAGCAATGCATGTAGAGTCTGCTATATAGTATACACACATTTTATTTGTGTAACCAATGATAACCCTATACATCAACATCAATATTGTTTGATTTTCGTGAACCAAAAACGAAATACATTTATTCATATGTGAGCCACCCCACCCTATACCAATCGCATAAACGTCTGGCAGCTTAAGGTGCCTGGGCTGCCCCTGCAATTTTCGAAAGGGTCCGGTTTTGAGTCAGGGGGGGTTTCAACTTTTATATTTTTAAAGAAAATGTCTAATAGTTGTATGCATTGTTATATAGACATGTTAGACAAAATTATAGGTACTTATTTTAGTATCTTTATTTTGTTTATAATGTGTATTGTTGAATAGATGACTTCGTCCATTTATGATTCGTATACGTAAAAATGTTTAGTTTAAATTGATACGATTTGTATGAATTATTTTTAAAAACATTGAAGGCAGATAATTACTGTAGCCTACGTCACGCCGACATGACGCGAGAGACGGTGCCGACTCCACCCTACTTTCGAAAAACCATTACCATAGGTAGGGATTTTAAACAGACGACGGTACGGTTCGTATCTATTATTTTTGTATTTGTAGCTAGGTGGCGTAATCCAGGGCTGTAGCTGAAAATATTTCTGGAGTTAAATGTCAACTTTAATAGTAGGTATTGAAAATACAGTCCAGTATCAATATTGTAAATAGATGAAGCAGACTTTTCCTTAAACTATATAAATATTTCAATGTTGGTGGAGGGAGGGGGGCTTAAAAAACGGCCTTGGGTGCGTTGTGCTTTTTTGGGTTCATTAAAGTGATCTGGTCATTATCCTGGCTGAGTGAAGTCTATAAAGAGTATAGTCACGCCAATGGGCAATCTACAGGGGTTGGAAACAAAGCAAAGAATTAAAGAAGTAAGAACACTCACAAAATTTAAGTGTGGGAAATTTGATGCCAATTTGCTCGGTAGTTTCCAAGTCTACAAGTCCCGTACAAACGTACCTAAATTGATTTTTATAATTATAGATGGATATATAAAACTATGGATGATCCACATGGGAGTTTCGGATCACGGATTAAAGATTCCGTGACTTGGACCCAGTGGCGTATTTAGTGGAGGACCATGGGGGGGGGGGGCAGCAAATTTAACACATGCGTTGTAAGTTTATTATAGGTGAGAAAAATTGTCACTATAAAAACGGGTGGGGGAAGAGGGCATTATAAAAAATTAATGCCTGGGGCAGCAAATTCCAAATACGCCACTGCTTGGACTACGGAAAACATGTTTTACCATTAGACCAGCAGCTGCTGCTGCCTGCTGCAGCTGGACCTAAATACCTAATTCTATAAGTCTAAGATTGATAATTATTGTTCACCAGCTTAGCCAACGCGAAGGATTCCGTAAAAGTTGGTCGACGTCGTGCACGGTATTCAGAACGGCTACAGTGGTTCTACTGTCCGGGTAGTTTTAACTTTAACCTAAAAATATTTGTCAATGTATGTAAATTTTGTTTGACAATTCGATATTAATTATTATTCAATAATATTATAATTATTACATCCTATATTAGTATAATATTTAATATATGTTGCATTATATATAAATTACAAATAATTGCGGTCGGTTCCTGAAACGCATAGGAGGGCACTCCGTACTCCGTAATCTACCGCCGCGGTTCGAATATGGTGCGTCTGTTATCGGCACCATTCAATCGCGTAACGATTTCGTACGGATTCACGTAAACATGTCGTAGTGGACGACGCGCTCGGGGCGAATCTGACCGATACAGCTCCATCGTAGTATCCGCCCGCCGCCTCGCGTCGACATCCGAGCACCCTCAGACAGAAAACGGACAACGACACCCCCACAAACGATGGTGTCTACCGTCCGTCTGTGTACTCGTCTATGCACTTGATTCTGGCGATGGAGCTGTAGCGCACCCACAGGCCCTCTCTCTCTCCTCAACCCCTAAACCCCGAGACCCCGGCAAGATCCCCCCGCGGCCTGGACACCAAATCCGCTGCCGGCGGCGGCGGTGGCGGCGTCGTCATGTCGTTCGACTTCGAGGAGATCACCTCGTTACGCAACGAGCTGCAGAACGTCAGGGAAGTGATGCGCTTGACCAAGTGCAATATCCACGCACTGAACGGCACGTTCGCTACGTTCGATCATCCGCCGCCCATCTATTTGACCGAGTACCGAGAGCTCACTGTCAAGCTGCATGAGCTGGAGGCCAAAGAGCAGGAGCTTCTTGACCAGGTCGACCATCCCAGAGAACACCGAAAAACCCGGGGTGACAAGCCGTCCACGCCATTCGTTCGCACCATCCGTGCTTATTTACCTAATAAACAGCGTACCACTATTGAGGTGAAGCATGGCGAAACTCTACACATGGCTCTGGAGAAGCGTTTGCAACACAGGAAGATCCCATTAAACGCCTGTGTTGTCTACCGTAACGGCACTGACCATCAGATACCGTGGGATACTCAAACGTCCACTATTGAATATGAAGAGATACAAGTGAAAATGTGTTGGCTACCCATTCAAGCATCATTTACACATGATTTTTCCAAGCGTACATCATTTACAACTTGTGATCATTGTCGTCAACTACTTTTCCAGGTAAATATTGCATTTTTGTTGAATTATTATTAGTTTTTGTATGCCTGACTTCCATTGATGTACATTTATATCAACCAGGGTTATCACTGTCGTTCGTGCGGGTTCAAATTTCATGAACGGTGTTCCATGGGAGTGCCTGTACTGTGTATTCCAACTAGAGATTTGAGTAGTGGAAACGGGGGAAATCACACTATTTACCAAAACTCTGCCGGTATACTACAACTAACATCCGATTATCAATCATCAAGACGTCGAGTGCTTGGTCATGGCGAAAGATCAAGTTCAGAACCTAATGTTTGTCGTAATATGGTAAACATGAATTGGGACGATTTGGCTGAATTGAAGCGAAGATCACAAGCACCATCTGGTGTACCTCATGGTTTCTTGCCTCACAGCCAGAGCGCCCAAGCTTCTCCTACCAATGTACTGAGGCCTAGACCTAGAGCCAAAAGTGCAGATGAAAGTGCTACCAAGAAGTTGCTTCGTGACACAGGTCCTCAAGAATCGTTAGAAGATTGGGAAATACCAGAAACGGATATTCAAATGGGTGATTGTATTGGATCAGGGTCATTTGGTACTGTTTATAAGGCTAATTGGCATGGTCCAGTTGCAATTAAAGCACTCAAAGTGAAACAACCGACTGCGGCACAATTGCAAGCATTTAAAAATGAAGTATCCGTATTAAAAAAAACTAGGCACGTAAATGTTTTACTGTTTATGGGCGTTATACGAAAACCAAATTTGGCTATAGTCACACAATGGTGTGAAGGATCAAGTCTATATCGCTGTTTACATGTATTGGAAAAAAAGTAAGTTATAGTTATTCTTATTTATAGAAATACTTACATGTAGTATTGGATTCTCTAATTACATAGTATTATTATTTCAATAAATTTATACCTTTTTATAAATATTATTAATATGTAGGTTAGGTACATATATATTTTTTTAATATTAGATGTTATTTTATTTTCAAGAAAAAAACATTTTTGTTTAATTAGTAATACAACCATTGGTATAATATCTGCTATACTAATTTAATACTTCAACATTGAATTAAAATTAAAATACCTAATAGATTGTATTAAATATTATTATTTATTATAAGTACTTAATAAGGGCATCCTATAATTAAATTAACTTTATAATATGTGTTTTCTTGTTTTTCAAAAAATATTAGGATTACTTTAGTTCACATTACATTTTTAAATATATTAGCCCTATTCTATTATCCAATTTGAAATTAATATGAGAATTATATTTAATAATAGGCAGATAACAGTAACAAAACCAACAATTAATTACATTTACATAATATTTATGGAGATTGTACAAAATATCTATCATTACATAATGCATATGACTAATATTGTATTGTGTTTGATGCAGTTCTTCACTTCTTATATATTATATCAAATCATTAGACACTCATCCTTTTTTTGTTTGAAAATGTAGTACTAAAATTTGTGACTCTTTTAACACTATATAGTTTATTGTATGTATCATACATTTCTACTATATTTTAATTAAGAAATTTATGTAAGGGTAGTTGAGTCTGAACTTTGACCATTTCTATTTGAATACTTATTTGATCTCAAAACTTAAATTACAAAAGAAATATTCAAATGATACTACTTTGCAAAAAAGTGAATAGACAGACTGTTCAACTAACCTGAAAAATCATAATAGTTTACTATATTAACAATAATGATGTTTAACTATTCGCATATTTGATGTTAATTATTAAATAAGCAAAATATACTTTCATCCGAGACTTCTCCGTACAGAGTTTAAAAAGACAATTAACTATTATGTAGTTATGTATGGGAAATTGCTTACCTTGGGCTAGGATTATGCCCATTGTTGTGTTTTATATCGCAGCATCATTCTACAAATTTGGTTACCTATGACCACTAACCATTTCATATGACGCAAACAATTTATTTTGCATATTTTAACTATATCACTTAAATCACTTAAATCACTCAATAATTGTTGAGAAAATATTGGTAAATTATTGTATACTTTTGTAATACTATTGTATTATTGTATTTTAACTAAATTAAATAAACTTTGCTATTTACTATTGCTCATAAATCTTAGTCCTAGTTATAACATGGTTTTTGTTGTTTTTAGATTTGAGGCAATGCAATTGATATCGATTACTGGCCAAACTGCAATTGGTATGAATTATCTCCATTCTAAAAGCATTATACACAGGGATCTGAAAAGCAACAATATATTTTTCAACGATTCTGTTGTGAAAATTGGTGATTTTGGTTTGGCTACCATCAAATCAAAATGGTCCGGTGGTCAACAATACCATCAACCATCTGGATCAATATTATGGATGGCACCTGAAGTAATTCGGATGCAAGTAGACAACCCATACAGTTTTCAGTCAGATGTATACGCTTATGGCATTGTGCTGTATGAATTACTCTCGGGTCAGCTGCCTTACACAGAAATCAATAATAAAGATCAGATAATTTTTATGGTAGGCAGGGGCTACTTACGACCTGATTTGAAAAAAGTCAGGTCAGACACACCAGCTGAGCTGCGCAAATTGATGGAAAACTGTATCAAATTTGATAGAGAAGACAGGCCCAAATTCAAAGATGTTGCTATATCCATACAAAGCATTATACACGCTATGCCAAAACTGCAACGGACAACATCTGAACCTACATTATCCCGGTCTAATTGGAGCGATGACTATTTGTACCCGTCCGAAGCGAATAACTATAGAGGAGCTGCAGGCTTTATCTAAAGTTATTGGATTGTAAAAAAAAAAAAAACAATTTAATTTTTTTAATTTAATGATTTATTATTATAATGTTGAATTTTGTTGATTATTATGTGCAACCAAGTGACAATATATTCATAAATGTACATGTATCTGCACACTCATACATATATATATATGCATGTGTGTATATGTTTGTTATATATATATAACATTTGTTGAATTCAACATATTATTTTAATCATGTTTTTGTTACTCAAAACAAACCAAACATTTTTACCTATTATAATGTCTGATTTTTCTTCTATTTCTATTATTTTTAAATGTTACCTATGTAATGTATATTATGTACCATACAGTATGTGCTTCAGATTTTTGTTTTTCATAAATTGAGTAAATATTTTTCATATGATAGCAGTGATAAAACATTATATACACAATACATACACATATATTATTATGTTTGTAATATAAAAACAAATATGTTATTGATCAATTTCACGTGTTGGGTATATTATAATTATTAATTCCTCATTCCTCATTGCCTGTGGTTAGTGTAAGCTTTAAATTCTGAGACTTCTGTTATGTGATGTCTTATCTGTTATTGTGCCTACTGTCTACCCAATTTCATTTATTATTATGCAGAGTTGCGTTATACTTATCTACCTGTAAAGAGTTGAGACACTAAATACCATTTATATTAATTTTAGATTCTGAGGGCCTCCGATGAATGTATTGAGATTTTTAAAATGTGTTTTTTTTATCTGTCACCACTAGGGCCCAAAATTTTATGCAAATGTTTATTCTTCTATATTTTACTCATAATAATTCTGATTAGATATCTTGACACTTCGTAATACGTAGATTCTGCTATTAATTTTTTTTTTACATATTTCTGCAGATTTAATAAATACTTGACAAAGTCAAAGAAGTTGTCAACACTTTTAACCCAAATGATGCAGTCTATTCAAAATGCACAACAGTTATTTAATGATAGCTTGATCAAAAATGAACTTTCGATAATTCTATCAAATTTCTAATGCATAACAGACCATAACACCATAACACCATCACGTGTCTAGACTTACCGGGTGTTAATCTTGGAAAAAGTCTAAAGTTGGTTCAAAATGTTGAAAAATTGATTGAAGGAGGACGAGGTGTAGAATTTGTTAAATTTAAATTATCAGAAGTATTATCAAAAAATCCCAGAATATCACAAATAAAAAAAAAATTCCTAGAATTATAAGTGGAGAAATAAGAAACAACGATAAAGACCTAACAGAGCTGTAATCAAAAGGACAAAAGTACAAAAGATATTATATCAAGTACGCACCCATTCGTCAGCAATGTGGAAAGATGTTTTCCGATATACAAGGTGATGCTCACTGCTCGGTGACAATCGTAGAAGTTTTCAGTTTAATAATTTAAAAGCAAACTAGTACAATCAATACTTAATACAAATTTTTATGCTATACACACATTTTAAAAACTTTTATTTTTAGAAGAAAATATACAATCTATATCTAAGACATAATAAGTTTATATGTGATAAGGGAAACATCGACAATTAAACATCATTTTACATAAGTTGAAGAAAGAAGCCACCCACTGATGACACTTTCGTCTTGGTTTTTAAAAACTGATATTTAAATTGTATTTTTTTTACTTAATACTTAATAGTATATTTTAAAATGTTTTTTTAACAATATTTTTTGCGTGTATATTTAATAATAAATTTTTGCTTAAAAATCCGGGCTTCCCTAGTCATCAACTTAAAATAATGTTTGGTCCAATAAATGCTTCAATGTTTTACTCCAGCATCTTTTCTGTTAGGAAATCAAATCTAGTTGCTATTTTGGGGGTCAAATGTAAAAAATGTCCAGTTGTTATAAAAAGCATCGGGAGAACTAAAAATAAATCTAGGGAAAACTGGGAGTTTTAAGTTCCGATTTTTTTGGAGTATCTTAAAAACTTGTGACTGTAGATACTTTAAATTTTCACCAAATGTTTATAAAATGTTTAAACCTTTTCCATACGAAGTGAATTTTAAATATTTTGACTTTCGAGCCATTCCTAGGTATAAGAAAATTTTTGAATTCATTTTAATTTACCAATCGTAAGTGTTCAGTATTATTTTAATGCAATGATACAGGTCTTGTGACCCCCCCCCCCAACATAGGCATACCTTTAGGTTAAGTTACCTACCTTACCTAACCAAAACATGCAACCTGATTTCTTCAAAAAAAAGAAAATATTTCCATTACTTTCCACTAGTTTTCAGTATGTTATTAAAACTGGCAATAACTATGTAGTTACCATATGGAACATGGAAACAGTGAGGAACAATAATATACATAACAAATTAATTTTCGTTTCTAAATTACAAGCATTATAATTTTGTTTTCTTCAGAAACTGTACAATATTCATTCATAATATTTTATTACCTAATACAGCCCCTAATTAATAATTATACATAATATATAATATATAGGCGTCTAATGTATTAAAAAAAATTCTTAATATAGTCCATGAACAAATAATTAATTGTTTGAGTTTCGTAAATATTAAATCGTATACAAAAGTATTATATGTATATTCATAGAATTTATAAGGTTAAGAACAAATGTGAGTACAACACAACCCGTTTTTAACAAGGTCTGTAAATGTATAACCCGTACATGTTTTTCTGTTTGTCGACATACATAATAACGCGGCAAGAAAATATCTCCATTTTAATACTATTTATGCCCAAAAGAAAAGGAGTTTATCGACAAAATGGATTTACATGAATGGTTTATACAACATAAAATAATGTTAAACAGTATAAAAGAATATAGTTTTCGATAAACGAAAAAAAAATTTTATAATAAGTAACAATTATTTATTGGGCTTCTTCAATGTGTGTAGCAATTGATAAGAAATCCAGATTAATACACACACACACTCAAACACACACATACATATTATACGCGTATAGTGACTATTAAACACCTATATGCATACATTACATATATAGGGACTCGACAATATGAATAGAAATAAATACCACATCTTAATTAGGAGTCGGAAAACAAAATTCTACTCTACTGGATATAATACAAAAATTTACTTTTAGAATTACATTTAAAATTACAAGTATACTAATTTATATAAAATAATAATACAGTAGTATATCTAGGTGGTATAGTTTACAAGACGTACAAAAAAAAATATATATATATATTTATAATATGATGCATAATGCATAAGTATAACGTCGTTCGAGCAATACTGAAATCAGCACACTGTTCCATGTAAAATAGTATCATAATAATATGTTAAAGGTATACATAATGTTCACACACAGGTTACTATGAATTGATAACAAAACTTAAACATGGTTAGAGTCCATAAGACTACTACACGTGCTTTCAGTACGTAAAAAGTAAGTTGTAAGACTCATGTTTTAGTAACTTGATAACTGGTTTAATTTTTTATTATTTTTTTATCAATTACATAGTCAAACCGTGTCAATTTTTTACATCACTAACAATAAACATTTTAAAATAGTACATAAAAAGGAAGAGAGGGAGAAGAGAACTATAATAATAGTTTTTTTTATTATTATTTTACATTAATTATTAATAGTTATAATAAAAAGCATACAAATATAGCATAAAAATAAAGAGGAAAAAATGGACCAAAAAAAATGCACAGTTCACAGACAACAATTACCTTACAAATATCGTATACATTAAACTGTAATATGTTTCTTATTTTAATTTTAAAAAAAAGCATTAAAAATTTAAAGGTTACTAGTCATGGTGCCTTAAAAAATATGCTACTTATTCGTTCAATACAATAAATACTAAACAATTAACAAAACTCGTTTTATATTTTAAAAAATGTAAATTTTTAAATATCATGAGAAATAATATTACCGTGTGTATATCGTATACTTGGTGAAAAAGGAGAAAAACACTGGACATGATTGTACTTGATTTTGATGCATGTGTTGATTTTCCTTTGAGATCACAGATAATAGAAAAATGTGTCAGTAAACATAATCAACAATAATATTATTATCATATTTTTTCTATATAAATTACTAATAATCTGGTGATGTGCACAATATACGTATACCAAAGTTACATGATGAACGATAAACGTTCAAAAAGCTCAAGTTAATATTATCATTTAATTATACAATAAAAATATTCATTATAATAATAATAATAATAATAATAATAATAATAATAATTAATAATAATAATAATAATAATAATAATAATAATAATAATAAGATACTAAAAAATAGTTTCATAATAAAACCGTCTCTACTGAATTCCAGTATGGTAATCTCAAATATTAGACTAACGTTATTTATACATATACGTTCCCTTATATGTGATGTGTGCTGGGATTAAAATACACACACACACACCAAAGGCCTAAGTCTTTCGTTTTCGTCATTACAGTAGATCCATAATAGTAATTAGTTAGAGTGAGATGAGTGTTTTTTTTAGAACATATTCAAAGTGTGAAGGCCAATTATTCTCACTTGCATATGTCTAAAATATTAAGTTAAGCAATCATTTTTAAACATATGTAAAAAATGAACAAATTTAGTTATTAAGAATGAAAATGCTTAAGACAATTTTGGGCGTTTTATATCGACATCATCTGACGAATCTTCGCTGTCGTCGTGCATGCCATGTGTTTGATATTCATGGCTGGAGTTCCATCCAGTAGATGGTGATCCAGAGTTTTTAGGCATTGCCTATAATAAATATAAAAAATATTGTAATAGATTCTTAAGAAAAATAATTATATCATACAAAATAGATTTTTTAACCACAATAATATTATCTTAAATTTTATGTACTTAATCAATATAAGGTAAAAACCATGTATGTTTGATATGTCACACATGATATGAGCCTAATAGTTATATTAACTTTTTACACACAATCGCTCACCTGGTGTCCCATTGGGTCGTATCCTAGACTTCCATCAGAATACTGTGCCTGTAAAATTAATTATTCGATGAGATCGAGAA